CTCTCTCTAGTAAGTAAATGAATCTTTAAAAAAAAAGATAAAAACTTGGGGTGCCTGGGTGGCTCAGTGGGTTAAAGCCTCTGCCTTCGGCTCAGGTCATGATCTCAGGGTCCTGGGATCGAGCCCCACATTGGGCTCTCTGCTCAGCGGGGAGCCTGCTTCCCCCTCTCTCTCTACCTGTCTCTCTGCCTACTTGTGATCTCTGTCAAATAAATAAATAAAATCTTAAAAAAAATAAATAATAAAAAAAGATAAAATCTTAAAAAAAAAGTTTATAAAAATGATGCAGAGAGGTAGGCCCTCAAAGGCACACATGGAGCTTTGATACTGTTGGCCAGATCCTGTTGAGTTTGGTGGGGGGGGGGCTGTAATTATGCTGTGTTGTATTGAGGACATTGATTCTCGAGCTGTTTGCTTACCTTAGTTATTCTGTTCTCCACCCAAAATCAAATTTTGTTCTTCCTCTTCTCTTTTTTTTCCAAGTTTTGTTATGTCATCCTATTACTTCTATAATTTCAGGAAGGGGGAGAAAAAGAGGGAGGAGGAGGGCCAGGAGGAAGGGGCGGTGGTCTCCCACGGCGCGGCCATAATGACCTAGGGCCTGCCTGCAATGGGCAGCGTGGCTGCTGAGGCCCCCTGTGCTGTGGCCAGAGCTGGCACCTGCCCAGGCCCCTCTACCGGGTCAGAGAAATCCCGGGGCCGCTCTGAGGAGGTTGTGCCATGGCTCGGCCTTGGGCACGCAGATGTCTGGGACTCCACTGGCCCGGGTCCCCAGAAGCAGACCCCAGATGAAATGCGGCTTTGTGTGCGGACCTCACGGAGACCCTGTCCTTGACTGGTTCAGAACCTTGTTCTGCCCCAGGCCAGTCTGACCAGAATGGGAGCGCCACACATGACCAGAAGGAGGTAGCTAGGTGTTCTGGGACCCTCTGAGGGGAACTCTGGGGCCAACGTGGTCATCAGCCCTCCCAGCTGGCTTCGTCTTTCCGACTCTGCTCACTGTTGGGCTTGCTTCCCCAGGCTGAGTGCACCCCCCTACCCCCTCTCCCCCAGGGCATAAGACCCAGTTCTGACCACCCTGCTCTCACCCTTCTTGGGGGCAGACAGTTCTCTGTGCCAGACTTGGCCTCTGGGTACAGGTTTGTCTCCCTGCCGGCAGACAGCCTGGCTGATATCCCCAGCCCGCAGCTGCCATCAGGAAGGGCTGCTCTGGCAGGTGAGGGACACCCTACTGCCCCAGAAGCCACTCGGTCCCTGCCTGGTGCCTGGTCCCTCATACCCCCCTCCCCGCTCTCTCACCCCAATGGCCCCAGAGAGGATGCTCTCCTGGGGCTCAGAGCTCAGTGACAGTGGGTGGGGGGAATGTGGAGCCACCATCTGGCTCTAGCAATGGGAGTCAGACACATGAGGCAATTCGTTTGTGAACAATCAAGACAGCATATACTTAAGAACAAGGTTCTGCTGGGCAGATTCTGCAGGGAGCTTCCAAGGAGGCGGAGGGGATTGGGCAGGGGGAAGACAGATGGGTGAGTAGGAGGGGCTGGGGGGTGGTGCTCAGGGCCTGGTTGGGAGCCCCAGCCCCCTCTCCGTGACAAGATGGAGACAGATAAAGCTGCCTCCCTTGCAATGAGGCCTGGAGCGGGAAGGGCTCGGAAAGCTCTCAGGGTGAATTGGGAAGGGACTAGAAGCTGCTCTGGCAAGGCCCAAACGTGGGCAAAGTCTTGGTATCCAGGGCAGGGCTTGGGGGGTGGGGGGAGGAAGGGACGTAGCCGTCTGGCTAGCTGACCCCAACTAAGCCCAAAACACAAATGGAAGGGCCTCCCTTCCATTCTGGGAAGTCCAGGTGGCATTTTGGGCCCTTGGCTCAGCAGCATCTGTATGGAGGCATTCTGGATGTTTTCCTGTTTCCTGGAGTCTGAGTTCATCCGGGAGCTCAAGAGCGGTCCTGGCCACTGCTGGCCTGCTCTGTCCCTCCTGAATCTTTTGCTGGGAGGGTCCCCATCCTCAGTGGTTCTGGACCACTCCAGGCTCCCATGGGCGCCCCTGTGTTGTAAGATGCCCCCTCACCCAGGGGCCTCACCCCTCTCCTGTCAGCCTCTGCGCTGGCCTACAGTGGCCATGCCCTCGTGCTACTGGTACAGGGTGGGCTTGGAGCCCAGGGAAGAGAACCAGGCCGGTCTAGTAATGTTCCGAATTAGTGTGCTGCCTTTGTGGGGAGCTTGCCAGATGGTCCCCGGCCCCCTACTCCATGCCCCAGCACTTTCTAAACACGCCCTGGATACTCAGGGCACCGGGGGCTCAGAGGCAAGAGAAGGCAGGACTCAGGTGACAGGGTTTCAGAACTCATGGTTTATTGACACTTGAGCACAGTGACCCCTGGGAGGAAACCAAGTTTCTGGCCCCTTCAGCCTGGGACTCATCCCTACAGACAGAGGGAACAGCCATCCCGTCTTGGGACAAGACGCCCCTCACAGAAAACACCTCTCCCAGGAGCCCTGCTGAGATGTGCACAGATAAACCCTTGGCAAGGCTGCATGGCGCATGAATGGCAAAGCTCGGCGTGTTTGGCAAAGCTGTGGAGCCTCGGCAGAAAGTGCTGGTCTCCTGGGGCTGCCTCCTGGGGGCGACCGGCAGGATCCCAAACCGAACCAGCTTACTCTGCACAGGCCCAGAAGGTTTCCGTTGAGCCCTTGTCAGGGCTAGGCCTGGGAACTGGTGTGGCTGTACCCCCGGCCACGGGACTGTACCCCACCTGTGCGGCGAACCCAGAACTCTGAGCCAGTAGGGCACAGGAACAGGCGAGGACCGCTTGCTGGCTGGGGAGGGTAGGAAGAGAGTAGGCTGTGGCCAGAGGCTGGCTCGGGACCTCAGAGAGCCTGCATGTCTCCAGTGGGGCCTGTCCCCACCACTGCCCCCTTAAAGCACATCTCCTTCCTTGGCCTGGGTGCCGAGGACAAGCGAGGTCAGGGAGAGCCTGGCTGTGCCCAGCCCAGCTCCATGTCCTTCTACCTTACAGCTATGGGGGGAGGGAGCTGGGCCCAGTCTGCTTCTCCCACCTCTGCTGGCTAAGAATCTGCTCTACCTGTAAAAGCAGAGCTCTCTAGTAGGGCTCTCTCAAGCTTTTGTGTTCCAGATTGGGTGTAAGCATCAGCAGCTCCATTCCCTTCCAGCCCACTTAACTGTAAGAATAGACCCTAATAATACTTCATCACTTCTTCCTGCTGGCAGCAGGGGAGGGCTCCCCTGGAACTGGCAGCAGCTCCCCAGGACAGCCCTGGACCTTCCAGAATCACAGCTTCCGTGCAACCCTGGGCCCTAGAGAGGAGAAACTGAGGCCCAGGAGGGCTCCGTGACTTGCTTAGCTCAGACAATGAGCTAGTGGCAAAGCTAGGATTTGAGATGGAGATTGAGGCTTCCAGACCTGGGGTCCCGGCTAGGGGCCCTCTTGGGACTGTGGCCTCCGAAGAGGAGGGGGGCCAGGGCTTTCAGAGGCTGAAGATGCCCATGGCTCCCAGTCCAGGTCTGGTCAAGAGGGAAGAGACCTCTATGCCTAGGTGCTGGCCCAGAGCTGGCATCTGTGCAGGAGGAACGAGGGCTCCCTCAGCCCCAAGGCAAGGATGAGCAGCCCCAGACAGCAGAAGCCTCTGCCAGAGGCGTGTGTCACTGCAACAAGCCTGAGGCCGGGGCACGAATCAGACTGGCACACAGTGAGATCTGGGCTCCATGGGTGAAGCCCTGCTCTTGGTGGCAATCATGGAATCAGAGACCGGCAAAGAAGGGAGAACAACGGAAGTCCACGCTTCCTCTCTCTGCTAAGATCACGCCCCAGGGGCAGCCAGGCCAGCAGTGAAGGGCAGGGCCACATGCTGTTGCCAGCCCTGTGCCGGGAAGGGCCAAACAGGGGGCTTTGGACCCCCAGAAAACAGTGGGGCCTTCAGATTCAGTGAGGGCAATACTAGGTCATTGTTGGCTCCCACCAAACCGTCTCTGAATTGCAGCGATTGTGTTTAAGATGCCTTCCATCAGGAGCCTCGGGGGGCACGGCATTAATCGCGTCATCTGGGCTCCTTCATCCCTGCTGCGGGAATGTGGGGTAGATGCTGAGCCTGCGGGGGGCCTCTCCCACTGATCCGCCGCCTCTTCGGAAGGCGCTCCTCGGTACACTAGGATCAGGGTCCTCCCTGCACCCTCCTGGCCAGCCACTGCCATTCCCAGACCTGAAGGCCTGGGTCCTCCCACCAGAGAGCCCTCTCTCTGGGCCCTTGACCTCTGCCTGGACTCTACACACAGCCCTGTCACTTCCCACTGGACACCCACACCACAGCCGCCTCACTGGAGTCACCCAAGTTTCGCAGCTCCTGAGCCCCGCCTGCCCAGAGCATGCTAGGGAGTGTAGAACTCTCCCCGAGGTGGTCAGGCTGTGGGCAGAGCAAGGTGGCAGAGGATGCCCGCCGTGGCTGGTGGGAGACAGGAGGAGGGGTTTTGGGGGCTATGGAGCAGTTGTGTAGGATGGGCTCCGAACAGAGCCCAAGTCCCCCCTGCTGCCTCTGGACTTGCTGGGGGCTCTAAGTGGTGCTTCCCAATGAAACCCATTTGATTACCGACACAAGACATCCTAGGATATTCCAGTCAAACGAGGGAGGCTGGCGGGGCCACGGTCACCCTGATCTCCCAGAGCCCCGTGGTCTGGCCCAGTTGCACAGCATAGCCTATGTTCTTCAGGGCTGCTCTGCTGTCAGCAGCGAATGGAATCACAAGAGGCAGAAAGAACACGTCCGGGAAGAATTCTAGCCCAGATCATGCCACTATAACAAAATGAATCCTGCTTTTGTAAAAATGGAAACATGCCTGTTAGAATCCATTCCAGGCCCGGCGGTCCTAGCCTTTACCTAAAGCTGTTTAAGGCACTTGAATGGCTTATTAACGCCACCTGGAAAAGTTTTTGTTTCAATCCTGATTAAGGAAAAAAAAATCAGTAATACTGCAAAAGAAGTTTCTTCAAATAAAAAAAAAATCAATACTTAAGTTTTCTAAGAATAAAATAAATGCTCAGCTCTGTTTAAGTTATATGACACAACATGTCCACTTGGCACTGACAAAACAGACGAAAACCTGAAATACTGCTTCTGAGTTAAGACTTCCCTGGGGGGGGGGGGGCGAAGACCACAAACAAAAGACCCACGTGTCATCATTCTGACCTTCCCCTCCCTTGGTGTGTGCAGGGCTGGGAGGGGACGAGGGAGGCTGGGGGGACCACAAGCGCCCACAGCAGACCAGATCCCTGGTGCTCCCTCCTTCCCGGCGGGGCTGTGCTCCCCACTCTGGGAACCTGGCTTGGCAGGCCAGGAGCAGCCAGGCGCATCTGGAAAGAGGAGTCCTCCCAGTTGTGACCAGGGAGGAGCCAATGAGAAACCTGCGCCATTCACCCGGGACACACTTGGAGGTGGCCAATGCCCTGGGTCCACCCGGGGTCTCACGTGCAGTGCCCTGCTGCCCCAGGCGCCCGCCTGGCATCTTTGGTCTGGCTTTGGCTCACGCCTGTGGCCTCTGGTCCTGCCCCCACCCAATGGGGCCAGGATAAGAGCTGCCCCACTTCCCAGGTCCTCTTCTCTTTGGTGAGGTCTCTTCCCTAGGCCTCCTTCAGAGATCCGGGCCATCCCACTGCCTTTGCGAGCAGGACATAAATAACCCATCCACACCCCCCAGCACAGTCCCACAGCCTCCAGGACAGACTGACTGCAAGCAGCACGGGGGACTCGGAGCCCTGGGAAAGCACTGTGAGGGGGGCACCTGCCTGCCCATCGCCACTGGTCAGGTCCTAAGGCATCTGAGGGGGAAGGGTATGGGATGGGGCGGGGGGTGGGGCCCGATGGCCTGCAGCTCCTAGCTTCTCTGTGGAGTGCTGGTCTCTGGCTCTGAGAGGCCAGAGGGCACATCCCCTGCCCCCTGGGCCCCACCCTTCAGTAGGTCTTGGGGGTCCCTGAGGAAGACCACCATGACTGTGATGTTGTCATGGGAGCCCCGCTCCCGGGCTGCGGCCACCAGCTCCTCAGCCACCTGTAGCCCGCCACCCTGCTGCCTGACCAGGTGGCTCTGGACGAGGCCGGCGACCTCCTGGTGGGGGACGACATCGAAGAAGCCATCACAGGCCAGTAGCAGGTAGTCCTCGGAGCCGGTCAGCTCCTGAGAGGCTGAGTCCGCCTCGCCTGACACATAGGGCTTCTGGAAGACATCCCCTGGGCATGGGAGAGAAGGGCCTCAAGTCAGAGGGCCAGGCTGCCCACTGCTGAGTGCCATCCCGCCAGGCCCCGGCCACCCTCCTCTGACACCCATGCTCAATGGTGAAAATTTGACACTCACGCGGTGCTAAAGGCTATGAAGAAAACAAGAGGGCGACATGGCAGAATTATCCTGGTGTCCCAGTGGGCAGAGTCACAGCCCAGGTGGGCCAGAGGTCAACTTGACCAACAGCCTCTTCCCTTCCAGTGGAGCTGGGCCCAGAGTCGGAGAGAGGGTGGTGGCTGAGGGAGAAGACCTCACCTTTCCTTCCTTATACTCAGGTCTGTAGCTTCCCTTTCCCTCAGGACCCTCTCCCTGGGACCCCACATCCAATCCTCTAGCAAGTTCTGTTGGCTTTACTTTCAAAGTGTTACTGGAAGCCACGGCCTCCTCCTTACACCTTGCCCAGGCCCACGGGTCCCGTCCTTCCACACCTGCCCTCCAAGGGCACACCAGCCCCCACCACTTTCTGCCATTGAACTGCCTGGGGTGTCCTGCTCTGTGGAAGGAGCCTCTGCTTGGAGAGGCCCACCCGGCCACCTCCCCACTGCGGTGTGTACAGATGCCCAATGGCGGCAGCAGCAGTAGGGAGAAGGGCTCTAAGCCGGCACATGCGAGGTGGCCGGGAGGGACGGGTGTCACATTGTGGGGTTCAGCAGGAACAGAGCGGCATCTAAGTACCCAAGGGGAGAGGTGTGGGGTGTGGCGGCCAAGCCCTAGTCTGAGGCCCAGCAGCAGCAGGATGCTGACAAAACAGGACTGTGGAAGAGGATTCTCCCTTTATTTTTTTTAAGATGGAGAAAAGAATCAGCATGAACAGGGAGAGGACAATCGATAATCCTCATTGATGGAATATTTGAAAACGACCTTCCAGCACATACAGTAGCTATCCAAGGGTTTCCTAGTAGGTTTTTCTGGGAAAATGTTTTAATAAGAAGATAACCGCATACCACTTAAACTGGGATTACTTGTGTGAGATGGAAGACCTTGAGGTGTTTGCTCATGCACTAAATTCACCAGAGGTCTCTCAGTCCGATTCCACGGCCCCACAGATCACAGGTGCTGTATTTCTCAGCAGAGGATGCTGCTGTTCCTGACAGCTGGGTGACCCTCGGGCCACAGACGAAAGGCCTTGGTCTCCCACCCTCCTGCCTCCTTACCGATGGCTCTGGACACGGCCAGGGTCCCGTTGACTCTCCAGCAGTCCATGTGAGACACGAAGCCACCCAGTGCCTCGATGCGCTCCTTCTCGTCCTGTGGGGGACAGCCAGAGTAGGCGCTGGGGCAGGGTCCCCGGCGAGGCCACATCAGTCAAGATGCACTGGTTCCCGAGACAGTGCTGGGAGCCGTGGCCCGGGAACGACGCCCAGAGGAGGCATTAGGAGAATGGTGATGGACCTCGAAGAACCTGCACGTCCTCCTCCAGCTGCAGGAAGGGCCACCTCAGCCACAGTGCAGCCACGGTCACAGATCCTCGCTGCCTCACGTTTCACTCTGGGATACTGTCTCCTCCTTGCTAGCCACTGGGGCGACAGCAAGCCTGTGCTATGTGTGACCACCTGGCAGGCCTGGATGCAACCTGAACTAGGCCTTGTCCTTTCTCGAAGTCCCTCTGCCTCTATCACACCCCCCCGGAAATGAAAGCAGTACCACCATGATAGACACTGGGGTACCAGCTTCTTTAGCTGGGAGCTTCCCATGCCCCATGGGACAGTGTCTACTGGAGATCCCAGTCCCCTCTCTCTGGGACCACAGAAGTGGGCCCTTCCTCTAGGTCTCTGTGCAGATCTAGACCTACTGCAGGGCCGGAGGGGGGGGTGGACACCAATAGCAAAGGCTGGGCCTCCCATGTAGTTCCCTGAAGATGAGGGCAGCAGTGGGACCTGGAATGTTTGCAGGAGCCCTGACCTGCCTGCACGGCTCTCTCTGGGCCTGAGAACCCGCTGTGGTGTGAGCAGTTCCAGAAAAAGGCAAAAAGGAGCATGAACACAGGCAGGGAAGGAGGAGGAAGGAATAAGCAGGTGGAGGGGGAAGAGAGATTCAGAAGGGTCTGGGGAGAGGCAGGTGGATACGCAGGCTGGCTGGGGGGCTGTGCTCTTTGCCATGGTGCCACATAGTGGGGCTCAGGGGGGCTCGGGAAATGCTGCCTGGAAAAGTCCCCGCTGGGCCACAGAGGTGGTGTAGCTTGACAGTGAGCTTGCGGGGATGCAGGCAGGCAGGAACCCAGAGGCTTGAATCTAGTCCTGACTTAGACCGCATTTCACCTGACTGCCCGTCTCAGGGTAGGATGGTCCAACGGGGAGCAGACACCAAATGCCCCAGAGCTGTGGTGACGGTGGAGGGACATAGCATAGCTGCCATTTCTCAGCTGTGTGCTCTGGACAAGTTACTTAACCTCTCTGAGCCTCAGTCCTCTCCTCCATATGATGAGAAGAGCATATGTAGGAGGGGAGGCCCAGGAATGCTGTCATTCCTGGCTGTTTTGGTGATCGCTGCCTGACACTCCCTGCAGTGCTTTCCAAATCTAGAAACCACAAAAGGACAGCTCCGTTCAGTTACATAAAAACCAAAGTGTCTACAAGGCAAAAAGCCCCTAAACATAGACAAAGCAGGGGGCTATTTGCAAATCACCCTGTAGACAAGGAGCTGACCTACAAACTGATAAGAACAACAGCAACAGCCCAGGAGACCCGTGAGCCAAGGACAAGAAGGGCTCTCCAGAAAGGCAATGTAAATGACCTCCCGTGTTGGAGAAGATGCTCAGGCTCAGTCCATTAAGACAAACATAAACCCAACAGCCGCTTTCCTTCCCCTCAGACTGGCAGGAGCCTGTGGTTCAGTGCGACTGTGGGCAAAGGGACTCCCGTGGACACACAGCCCGAGGCGAGCAATGTGGCAACCATGCCAGGACCACCATTGAAAACATTCCAACCCCTCCATCCCACTTCTAGGACGCTGCTCTATTAACGTGCTGGACCCTGAGCCATGAAATACAGTACTGAGTCATCTGCCGCTGTGTTGCTGTTAGCATGAAGACACCGAGGAAGCCTCCACATCCACGGACAGGACTGGGGAAGACTGGAGCTCCACGGAGCCCTACAGGCGGGTGGGGGCGCTTCCCATGCTGACGTGGAATGCCCTGGAACACCCATCCACGTGGGGAAAGCCAAGTGGGGACAGGGCATACGGGCGTTCCCCAGTAGCCAACTCCCTGCTTCCCTATATAAGGAGACAGACTAGACACCTGTGAGATGGGGGTCCATGGAGGAAGACCATCCTCATGTCCGGGTGAGGACCCCAAGGTTCAGACAGTTGGTGACCTCAGGATCTTAGCACAGCCTCTACCCAACCAAGACCCAAGCCTGGTTCCTTCTGACCCCAGCTCAGCATTACCTCCTCCCTTGAACTCTCTCCTCCCATAGCCCAAGTGGCTGGCTGGCCCTTGCCATATGCATGAAGTGTAGGATTCCGCCCTCTGACCCCCCTTCCTGGGCTGCCTGCTGGGCAGAGGGCCCAGCTCTCCCCCACAGCTCTAGGCTCCGTGTCACTGTGGTAAGAAGGGCTTACTTGGGACTCTCGGCTGTGAGCTTTCAGGGACCACCCCCAAACTCCGGTCACTCAAGTCACAAGAGCCCTCCCTCTGGGGGAACACCAGGAGTTCCCTTGGAAGGTGGTCCAGGGCCCCTCTTACTTCGATGACCATCTGCCATCCTGCGCAGTGCAGTGTGATGGGGGCTGGGGATGTCCCAGGCCCAGAGGGAGGGGGCCCTTACCTGTCGCTCAGGTCTGTGCGGCTCCATCAGCTTCACCACCTGTCCCTGCTGCACTAGGATGACCTGGGAGTCCCCGAGCCAGGCGATGTGCAGGGTCTTTCCTGCGATGAGTGCACACACCCCCGTGGTGCCGCTCTGGAGCCGCTGCCAGGAGAGAGGGGCGTGGTGGGCCGGGCGCCAGCTCGGAGGGCTCACACCCAGCCAGACGGACCGACTCCTGGAACAGTGCTCAGCCAGAAAGAAGGAAAGGACTGCTGAAGCACACAAGGACATGAGGCGTCTCCGCTGCACGACGGGAGAGCAGAGCCTGTGTGGTCTCGTCTGCACACAGCTCTAGAAAACAGGAGCTCTAGTATCTGTAATGTCTGAAAGCAGATGAGTGCTCTTCTGGGGAGCATGTGGGCAGGAGGGTGGGGTAACGAAGGACAGAAGAAAACTCTTCAGGGGTGGTGGCTGGGTCTGTAACCGGGCGGAGGGTTACACAGCTGTAGACAAATGCCAAAACCTATCCAACTGCACACTTTACTTGTTACTGAACTGACGGTATGTTGTATGCTGGCAATATGTGTAATCTGTCATGTGGATTACATCTCCACAAAGCTACCTTAAAATAACAGCAACCTGATCTGAGAGCCTACTTCAGAGAATCATTACCCTGGGAGGTGGCCCAGGGTGACAGAGGCCATGGGGGCTGAGGCCTGTCCCTTTTTCATGGGGCTGCCACTTAGGTCTAGATGCTATATGGTTTTCTGGTAAGATGCAAAGTCTGCCTTTGCTGATTTCCACTGGGGTCTGTGCTCAGAGCGCCTGATGACAGCGAATCCCCTACCAAGTCTCCTGATAAGCCATGTCAACAGGGGCGGGTCCTTTAAGCTCTCTGCGCCTCAGTTTCCCAATGTCTAAAATGGACACCATTTTATTAGCTCCCTGGCAGGGCTGCTGGGAGGGCCCCATGAGGTTCTGTGGGTAAGGTCCAGTGGGTGGCAAGTTCATAGAGGAGGTGTTGGATGTGTTCTTTCAGAAACAAGGGCCAGATCCCTACATGGCTTCAGTTCCTGAGGAAAGAATACACACAGTGAGGGGCGCCTGGGTGGCTCAGTGGGTTAAGCCTCTGCCTTCGGCTCAGGTCATGTTCCCACGATCCTGGGATCAAGCCCCACATCGGGCTCTCTGCTCAGCAGGGAGCCTGCTTCCCTTCCTCTCTCTCTGCCTGCCTCTCTGCCTAATTGTGAATTGTGATCTCTGTCTGTCAAATAAATAAAATCTTAAAAAAAAAAAAAGAGTACACACAGTGGGCACCAGCAGCCTGCCAAGACCCTGCCCAGGTGAGTGGGAGCAGGGTGGGGGGTTTGTGTGTATTTTTTTTTTTATATTTTATTTATTTATAAATAAATAAACCCCCCAGGTGCCCCAGGGGGTTGTGTGTATTAATCATGGGCTTTATTTTCTATATCTTCTTTTCTAAAAAAAAAAAATTTTTTTTAAATTTTCAAGACTTTTAAGAAATTTCTACATACAACCTGGGGCTCAAACTCACAACTCTGAGATCAAGTGTCCCCAGCACTTCCGACAGCCAGCCGGGCACCCCTCTAATCTGATGTTCTGAGAAACTGGGGTACTTGCTAATTGTGGACAGAGTTCCTCTCCCAGGACAGGCTGGTCCTAGAGATAGCAAAGGTCCCCCCACCCTGAGCGCACAAACTTCACGCACGAGCCAGTTGGCCTGAACCTGTGTCCTCAGTCACATCCTCTGTCTCTCAAGCCAGGCCCTTTTTCCTGGCCTGGATGGCAGCAGGTGGCCCTGATTAGAGCCCAGAGCCCAAACGGGTTATTCAAACTTCAACCCTCCACTTGCCATGACCTGCCTTGCCCTGCTTCGCCTAGGCCTCCGTGTGAGGCCACTGGGAAGGATCTGCCACAGGGCGCTCCCTCCCCCTGCCTGCAGATCAACCCTGGGGCGGGGCCTCTCTGATGTGAACGACTGCGGACTGCATGCTGTGTGTGAGGCCCGTTAACTGGTTCTCACCTCTCGCTTGGCTTTCCGGAGAAACATCTCGTCGGTGCACCGGAAGGCTTCTCTGAGGGCTCTGGCGGGGTCCGTGGGCAGCTCGGGCTGGCGGGCAACATTGGTGTGCACGTGCACGGCAGCATAGCGGGCGGCATCCACCCCTCCGTGACCATCAAACACGGCAAAGTAGGCTCGGTCCATGGGGTCCTGGTGGGGAGTGCCGCGGGAGTCACACTGCCCTCGCCCCGACCCAGGCTGTCACCTAGCTGGATGCTCTGGTCTGCGGGGTGGAGCCTAGGCACTGACTGGGGTGGGACTGGAAGAATCAGCATGGCCTTGGCCATCAGCACTGGAAAAGGACAAGCCTCTGGAGCCTCGGTTCACTTTCTGTAATGAGCTGCTGGAGCATAAAATGAGGGAAGGGGTGCCAGGTGGCTCCCAGCGCCTGAGACAAGGCAGGGCTCAGCAACTGTTGAGTCTGGGGCGGGTGTGACTCCTGGGCTCCCCGCTCCCCCGTTCTAACAGGCTTGGGCAGATCATTCCCTTTCCTCAGTCTGTCAGCTGGGAAAGCAAGGTGGCTGGTGGTTGCTCTGGCCCAGAAGTGCTGGGCCCACGAATCAGGCCTCTGCTCCCCCCAGTGGTGTGCTTGGGGGGCACAGCTACAGGCATCACTCCTGCCTTGGCTCTGGCTGGCAGCTCCGCTCAGAACCCTGGCTGGCCCCCACCCCTGATGTGAGGCGTCCTCGGCTGTTCTGGCTGTTCCGACTGGCGCCTGGGAGGAGGAGCACTGGAGGTGAAGCACTCACCGACAGGCCGAAGAGCTGGTTGAAGGCGGGAAGGCACACGTGCCGGTCCTCCATCTTGCGACGGGTATTCCGGATGGCATGCATGGAGACCCGCCACGGCCCCGGAGGGGCCTGCGCAGTCAAGGGCACCTGCTTCTGCCACTGGCTGCACACTTCCCAGAGCCGGTTAAAGAAGGTGTGTGCCAGGCCCTTGGCATCCAGCACTGCTAGGCACAAAGGAGGACCGTTAGGGAGGCACCGATGCAGGCCAGCTGGGCTCCAATCGCTCTGCCTGCCCCCCCTTTCCCCGTGGCCCCTGGAGCTCTTCAGACGGTGCCCACCACAGGCCTGCACGCCCCCAACCCCCAGCCCCCCAGCCCCAGGGGTATTCCGAGCACCCTAGCCTGTGTATGACAGCCTGTGTCATCAGTACTGGGCAATGTCTGCATTGGACAACATGCTCAGGAAGGAGCCTCCTGACCCAGAGTGAGCAGCTCCACTCATGGGACCCCTCCCCAAGGAAACAGCCAGAAACGCAAAGGTAATTTCAGGACAAAGCTTAAAATCATTTACAATGGCACGTTAATTAGAAGCCATACGTATCCAGCGACAGAGTAAATGACGGCCCAGTCTCTTGATGAAGAATTAAGCTGCTATTAAACATGATTTTCACAACTAAACACACAATGGACACATGGATCAGCAACTGCACCCCTGGGGATTGAGCCCAGAGAAATTAAGACACCGTGCGCACAAAACCCTGGGTGCCCCCGTGTTCACAGCAGCTCACCTGCAATGGGCAAAAACTGGAAATGGCCCAGATGATTTTCAACCCGAGAGCAAGTAAACTTCGGTATATCGTGCCACAGAATACTACTCACGGAAGGAAGGAAGGAAGGAAGGAAGGAAGGAAAGAAGGGAGGAGCGAACTCCTGGCACGTTATAGAAACTCAGATCAATTTCCAGAGAATGATGCAGAGAGAAAAAAGCCTATCCCCAAAAATTACATACTCTAGAATTCCATTTCTAGGCATTCTTGAAATGATGAAATTATGGAAGCAGAGAAGATTAATGGTTGTCAGGGTTGGGGACAGGAGCATGGGGCATTAGGGTAGCCACAAAGGACAACATGAGGGATCCTTGTAGAATTAAACTGTTCCGTATCTTGACGATGTCAAGATCCTGGTCGTGATGGTTTACTAGTTTTTTAAGACCTTACCATTGGGGGAAACTGGGTAAAAGACACATGGAACCCCTGTTATTTCTTACGACAGCATGCGAGCCTACGGTTGTTGCCAAGTTTAATGGGAAAAAATTAAAGGGTAAAACTAAAATGGACTTCTAAAGAGTGTGTGATTGTGTAGAATGCTTATGTCACAATTATCAAGGAAAAAAACATCAAGGAAAAAAATGTCACAGCAAAGAAGGAGAACAGAAAATCCCACACATGGTTTGATCACGAGGACCCAAAAAAGCCTTCAACGGCCTGGACCAGAAAACTAAAGGCAGGAAAAGCATACAATCAAAATGGCAGCAGTGGGTGTCTGCAGGTGGTGGTTTGACAGCGGATGTTTTTTTCTTAAGATTTTTTTGGTGTTTTCTCAATTTTCCAGGACAAGTGTTAGCCCCAGGTGATGGTTTCAGAATATGTCCATAAATTCTGTAACGCTCGATTGGGAGCCTGGTTCCTCCCCGTGGGCGTGGGCCTTAGGGACCTGCTCCTAAGAAACAGAATCAACCGGAAATGACCATGAACTGCTTCCTGAGAGGCACTGTGGCTCCCACCTGGCACATTCTCTCTCCCTCCCTGTCTCTGTCTCTGTCTCTCTTTCTCCATCTCCCTGGTGAATCACTGGCCCTGAGGAGAGCAGCCGTCACGGCAGGAGGACACTTAAGCAGCCCTGTGGAGGGTCCATGTGGGGAGGGGCTGAGGCCTCCTGCCAATAGCTAAGTGGCCAAACCCCTTGGAAATGGAACCTCTGCTCCACTGGCCACAAGCCCAGGGCCACAATCTCATGACAGACACTGGGCCAGAACGACCAGCTCAGCGGCTCCCAAATTCCAGACCCACAGAAACTATGGGATAATATATGTTGGTTTTAAGCCACTAAATTTTGGGGGGAATTCATTACAAAACAGGTAACAGCCCCTACAACACACACACACACACACACACACACACACACACACACACACACCCCAAATCCTACCTAAACCTGCCTTTTAAAGAAAAGCTTAACAAGGAACTAACAAGGAACAGGTCCCAAGGAATCCTTGGGTGGTAAGCCTCAGAGGCTCAGGTCATTTCCACACACAAAATGCTCCTGGGACTCTTGCTGGCCCAGGTGCATGCAGCAGGCACAGGTGAATTGGAGCCGGTCACCTCAGAGGGGGATCAAGGGCAGACTTTGAGGAGAGTCACCAGACACATTTGAAGGACTTGGAGGGGGGAGGTGTCGGAGAAGGAAGAGCTCCTGTCCAAAGGCGGAGGCTGCAGAAGAAAAAGGTAGGGGGGCGCCTGGGTGGCTCAGTGGGTTAAGCATCTGCCTTCGGCTCAGGTCATGATCCCAGGGGTCCTGGGATCGAGCCCTGCATCGGGCTCCGTGCTCAGCAGGGAGCCTGTATCTCCCTCTCCTATTCCTCCTGCTTGTGTACCCTCTCTCACTGTCTCACTCTCTGTCAAATAAATAAATAAAATCTTAAAAAAAAAAAAAGGGGGGGGGGAGAGGCCAGGGAAGGCACAAGAGGCCACAGAAGACATGTCTGAGGGAATCCACATGTGAAAGTGGGGGGTGGGGGGCAGGTGTGTCTAGTACTAGCCATTGTGGGCACACCCAGGACACAGGCACCATTCAGGTGTTTGGCAAGAAGTGGGAGACCAGCCAGGCTGGCCTGAGGGGCTGTGGGAACAGGAAGGCTCAGCTCTGGGAAGACATGTCCACATGTGCTCGGCCCAGTGAATCCCCTGCCAAAAAGTCAGAGACCCCTCGTTCAGCTGGACTGCACAGCGCTGTCTCCCTAGCCTTCTCCTCTTCCTCTCTGTAGACAGTTACGTTCAGACGAACATCTGGGCTCCTGGGCTCCTTCCCTCTCCCTCTGGGATCTGCTTCTTTTTTTTAAGATTTTATTTATTTATTTGTCAGAGGGAGAGAACGCAGAAGGGGAGGGGCAGGCAGAGGGAAAAGCAGACTCCCCACTGAGCAGGGAGCCCGATGTGGGGCTTGATCCCAGGACCCCAGGATCATGACCTGAGCCAAAGGCAGATGCTTAATCAACTGAGCCACCCAGATGCCCCCGGGCTCTGCTTTTATTAGGCCTGAGACACCCGGCGAGGCACAGGGCACCATGTACTCTCCTGCCTTAGGTCGTGCAACCATTTCCATCAACACATTTGAACTTGAATTTCAGCTTCAGCAAAGGCAATTACCACTGACAATGATAAGCAATGGATAAGCCATGGGCCAATTGGCTGGCTCACGGACTCCTGATGCCGCTGGCAGGACACACCTGCTTTCCCCGCTGAGGGCCTCATCCTGGCGCCCACAGGACCAGCTCACTGGAGCGGGGCCAGCTGGTGTTTCCACATGACCCAGCCCTGGGGGGTTTAGTCATACCTCTGGCGTTGAGCAGGGGTGCTCATAACACCTGCCGGGAAGCCCATTTTCCAAGAAGGGCTTCAAGATGATAGATTTTCGTATGTTCTGCCCCAGTGACAGGGAGAGCTGATCAGGGTCCCAGAGCCAGGGCCTGAATGGAGGGCCAGGGCAGGCTGTGAGTTCCCACCCCAGGGGCCATCCCCCCTTCCCTGGCCTGCAGGAGCCCCGTGTAGGGCCTTCCCGCCAGCAGGTGGTGCTGGTTTCCCGCCGGGACTCTGGGGTGGGGCACTCCCTTTGTGGGGCTCTGCGGAGGACAAAGGCTGCCTGTCACTGTGGGCTACTGTCTCCCGCACCTCCCAGGCAGGAATGTGAGGCCATGCTGGGATGGAATGTGGGCAGGGAGCCACGGAAGGGGCGTGGGGGGGTGGGGGGGAGATGAGAATTCGGCATATGCTGAAGCAAGGGGCCGCGTGCATTTATCTTCTTTCTCCCCCAGCCTGTTCCTTGTTTTGCCCTCAACACTCACACTCAGGCTCAACTCCAAGTAACACAGATAACAAATACGAGACAAGATAGAAGTAACCATATGCAATATATAAAGAGACTAAATTCATAAAGACAGAAGTAATCATAAGCAATATATAAAGGAGCAAATCAACAAATTATACAGGAGTTCCCCCTAGCCACGATTTCGCCTTCCCAGGTTTCAGGTACCGGCAGTCAACTGTGGTCTGGAAACGGGGTCATCAGAGGGTACTGTCAGAAGGTTAACAGCAAGGGCACCTGGGTGGCTCAGGCAGTTAAGCGACCGCCTTTGGCTCAGGTCATGATCCTGGAGTCCAGGGATGGAGTCCCGCAGCAGGCTCCCCATTCAGTGGGGAGTCTGCTTCTTCCTCTGACCCTCCCTTCTCATGTTCTCTATCTCTCAATCTCTCTCTCTCAAATAAATAAAAAAATCTTTAAAAAAAAAAAAAGGGGAGAAGGTCAACAGTAGCCCAGTGCTACACTGTGATGCCTATGTCACTCACCTTACTCCATCCTACCGCGCAGGCATCTCACGTCATCACCAGAAGAAGGGTGAGTACAGACCAAGATATTTAGAGAGAGAGAGGACCACCTTCATGTAACTTTTACTACAGTGTATTATTATCACTCTTCTATTTTAGTATCAGTTGCTACTCTCTTACTGTGCTTAGTCTATAAATTAAAATTTATCAGAGGTGTGCATGTATAGGAAAAAATGCAGCATATACAGAGGGTCTGGTGCGATCCGCAGTTTCAGGCATTCCCTGGGGGTCTTAAAATGAACCCCCCCCTCGGATGAGGTGACGGGGGGGGGGTTTTCACCGTATTAATTCCCAATTTCATTAATTCCTTCACTGTATCAAGAAAGTGAAACGAAGACATGCAAAGAGCGAGCCCTGATTTTTTTATGATGAGGTTCACTGCCCATTTCTGGGTTCCCCAGGTGGTGTGGGGTGGCTGGGGGCATGCCACACTAACCAGTGCCCCAGGAGGAGGTAGACCGACGGGCCCCTCCCCAAGCTAGCTCTCCAGACGCAGTGGAGTCTCCACCTGTCAGGGTCCTGAGTTGGATCAGGTCGGGCAACCGGCCCAAATGCAGGCATTTTCTGCCAGCTGGACCCTGAGGCCGCCCCCAGGAGCCCCACACATGTCACCCTCCTGGCTCCTCCTGGCTCCTACGCCACCCTGGGGCAGTGTCAGCTGAGGCAGAAGAGCAAGTGGGCGACTGAGCTGCCACCTCAGCTTCCTCCCATGTAGAATGGGAAAAGCATTATTCATCTCCTGAGCGGTTCCGAAGCTCAGGGAGACAGCGGCCGCGCTCCCCCTGCCGACCTGAGGCTGGAGCGAGCGCTCTCTCTGCATCTAGGTGGCCATCAGGAGCACGTGTAGACGCTGCCCTTCCATGGCCCTCAGCCATGTGCTGCCTATGACTACCTCCAGCAACAGGAAGGGCGGTGGCGGCCAGGTGAGCCCTGACAGCTCCGGAACTGGCATTCCCCCATCTCCCACCCCATCCCGTCCTTTGTCTGGTGGGTGAGTCTGTCGCCTGCTAAGCGTCCCAGCCAGAAAGGGAAGAGAACTCACAGGTCACAGGGGCCTTCTCTTCCTCGTCGTCATCTTCCTCCTCCTCCTGCCCCGGCAACTTCCTGAATTCAGAAAGGTCTGTCTGTAGCAGCTGGGAAACTGCCTCGTGGGCCAGAGATGAAGCAAGTGGTGGTGAGGCGCCCCTGCAGACCGGAACAAGGAGTGAGGCAGGGCTGGCACCTTGGCAGAAGCTAAGACCCCAGTGCTTCCCCGAATGCTCTAGATGGAGACCTTCCCACTCAGGGACGCCCATCTGGAGGGAGTGATGACCGCCTGTGCCACAACGTGCGGCGGCAAGCGGCAGGTCGACCTCTGGGCCTCGGGGAGTTGGATGGACACCAGCTTGATGCCATTTACCAGGTCCTGGGCTACAGCAAGCATGGGTTGGGGCTGTGGGGGGCTGCACAAACTGCCCGGTGTCCAGGCTGATGACGGCTCCCAGCCACCAACCCCAGTTGGTGGCCCTCTAGCACTTCAGGAGTCTTTAGGGGTTGAATTATGTCCCTCAAAGTTCTTATGTTAAAGTTCTAGCTGCCAGGGCCTCAGAATGTGACCTGATTTGGAAATAGATGCGATTAGTTACGGTGAGGTCATATAGAAGGGTGGGTCCCTAATCCAGGAACCCTGGTGTCTTTATGAAAAGCCTGAGCTCAGTGGGGCCGTGGGGCTGTCAGGATGGACCAAGCCAGCTCACCCTGACCTTCATGCTCAGGGACCCGGGTCCCCAAACTGCAGGAGTGAGTAAGAGTCACTAATTCTGCTTGACTCTAGCAAGCAGACCCTTGCGGAGGGGAGGTGGGGGGGATGGTGTGCTAGGGTTGAGCTGACCACAGAGCTGACACCCCCCAGACACAGATGCATACAGGGAGAACTGTGTGTGAAGATGAAGGCAGCACTGGGGTGATGAGCCAGAAAGTACCAGAAGGAACCAGCCCTACTGACACCCTGATCTTGGCCTTCCAGACTCCCAAGCACTGAGATGATACATTTTTGTGTTTGAGCTGCTCGGCCTGCAGTGCTTCCCACACCACAGCCACAGAAAGCCTTCCCTGGCTCCCCTGCACAGAAGGAGTCCATTCCTCTGCTGTCCCCGTACCACTAGATGCATCCTGATCCCGGAATCTGCCTCCTCACCAGTGGGAACCCGTCACAGGCCAGACGATGTGTGTTCGCCTTTGTGTGTCTGTCCTCGAGGGCTGGGGGTCCACGCCCAGGGCAACCAGTGCTTCTCTGCGGGGCAGACACACCTGGTTTTCCCCTGAGTGCAAGGACATCCCAACAGCCATGCAAATGGGTCACTTCTCTTTGGGGGCTGGGCATCCACGGTGTGTCTATAGATAGTCTTAGGAACCTACAGGGATGAATCTGTGGTTTTTTTAAAATGAGAGGGTGACTCAGGGGAGAGGTCTCTGGAACTACCTTTGAGAAACAACCAGCCAAGACATGAGAAATGAGTTCCGCTGCCATTTGGGGATTTCCTGCTAACCACTGGGTTTTCCTTTCTCGCAGCAGGGAGAAGCGGTGCTGTTTTCTTTGCTTCTGGGGGGTGGTGCCTCGGCTTCCTGCAGGCCCGAAAGGCCACCGGGGCGGGGAAGCAGCTTCCGGCCTGGGGACACAGACAATGCCTGGCCTCAGGCCATAGGCCTTGTTTCCTGGATGTGCCCGCCCAGGGGTTCCCCCCTAGCCTGCCCCCCCCCCCCGCCCCCGCAACATTCTCCAATGGTCAGGGCTCCTAAAGACTCCAGATGATGCCGCAGTAAACAGAAGGTGTGTGCAAGGCCAGGTACCCAAGAAACATTCCAGTTCCACCTGCTTTGGGGTTTTCAAGTTTGCAGCCTAGCAACCGAGTTGAAAATGCAGAGGAATAATTACAGCCTGAGGTGTGCACTGCTCAGGGATCTGAGATGGGACACAGAACTGCTGACAATGAGGGGGAAGATAGGACGTAAATCACTGCACCCTTGAACTTGGTGATCTGACTTCCCAACAGTCTCATGAAGGACACCATCTACAATTTGAAAAAACACCAGGCACCACTCTGCCTGGGGACCCCGACACTCAGGGGCCTCCACACCAGCCACAGGGATGGGAAGGAGAGGGACAGGAGCCCCCAGGAAGCTGCCAGGAACGTCCATGGGGGTGCTCCTGACAGGCAGACTCAGAGCAGACAACGTGCGCTCGCATACGTGAACACTGTGTCTACATGGGGAAGAAATACTAGCAAAGAACAAAAGGAACCAAAAATAAATCCATCAAGATGAGTAGGATATACATGACTTTAAAATATAATGTTTTAAAGGTGTGTGTGTTTTTTTTTAAAGATTTTATTCATTTATTTGACAGAGAGAGATCACAAGCAGGCAGAGAAGCAGGCAGAGAGAGAGGAGGAAGCAGGCTCCCTGCTGAGCAGATAGCCCCATGCGGGGCTCGATCCCAGGACCCTGAGATCATGACCTGAGCCAAAGGCAGCGGCTTAACCCACTGAGCCACCCAGGCGCCCCTTAAAGGTGTTTTAAGATGGGTTCGTTAGGAGGCTGATGGGGGCCATGACCCTTGGCCTCTCTTGCCCTCATGGGTAATGGTCTCAGACTGCTCTGGCATCCTGCTAATTAATGGGGTACCTGCTTGACACCTGAGCCTGGGCCTGCTACAGGGCCCCACGGGGCCCCACGTCATGTCAAGCAAGTTCTGCTTTTCTTCTACCCGTAGCCTGAGATAGCTGCCCTCCAACATAACTAAAACCTGCTCGCCCCCAAGGCCCTGCACCCTGTGGACCCCAACAGTCAGACCCCTGACTTCTCCAGCTCAGGCCCCTCCCTGGGCAGGAGAGCTGGTCACCGGCTACCCTCCTCTTTTTCACCAGCTTCCATCTCCACTGCCGTGGAGCAAAACAAGCCCAGCCTTCTGGGATCCCGCCCCTCTGGCCCCATCCCTCCTCTGTGCCCTCTCTTCCCCCGACCAGCGTATTGATGGCTCACCCTGGTGCCCCTCCCAGGCCCGGCCCTAGAGCTTGTCCCTCTTCTGACTCTGAGCCAGCAGCCTGTGGTTCTCCTGTGTCTGGGCTCGCATGCATGCAGGGCTAGCATGGGAGCCAATCTTGCTGGGCCTGCGTTTCTTCCCACCACCCCTAAAGACCCCACAGGAGGCCTAGTGGCTGCTGGTAGGACAGACCCTGTGCGACCCTGGGCCCTGAGGAAGGCAGAGCCCCGGGAGCCCTCCCCTCCCCCGCATGCAGCAACCCGGGCCTATTCTGTTGCATCTACTTGCCTTATGCCCCCTCCAAAATATTTCTTCAAAGCAGAACAAAATAGGCCAGTGACACCCTCCACACAAGCCACACCCTAAAGTGGCACGGTCACTGGGCATGTCCGCCTGAGCTCAGTGGGGCCATGGGGCTGTCAGGATGGACCAAGCCAGCTCACCCCGACCTTCATGCTCAGAGACCCGGGTCCCCACACTGCAGGGGTGAGTAAGAGTCATTAATTCTGCTTGACTCTAGCAAGCAGGCCCTTGGCAGGGGCGGAGGGAGATAGTGCGCCAGAGTTGAGCTGACCAGCCCACAGGAAGCGCGCTTGGGGACACTCAAATGCCAGGATGCTGAGGCTGGGGGCGTGGTCTGAATCAGGGGTGTGGGCCGGGCCCCTGGGGAGGGATGAGGCTCATGCAGACTTGGTATGGGCTGCTAGCCTTTACTGTCTATGTGTTTCTCCCTTCTAATCTGCTCAGCCTGTTGTGTCTCATCTCCGTGTTCCAGCTGCCTGGCCTGTGAATATCGGACAGCACCATCACCTCTTGGGTCATCGTGACTAGGGGCACATGGCCTGGCCCTGCCCACCCTGAGGCCTCGGCCGGGCTCTTAACCCCCCAGTCTCTGGCTCCCCATCTGTGAAATGAGACAGAAACAGGACTGACTGCACCTGTCATGGGTTGGACTGTGTTCCCCCAAAAGAGATGTTGAAGTCCTAACCTGCTCAGAATATGACCTTACGTGGAATTAGGGTCTTTGCAGGTGTAAGAGGAGGTCCCCAATGGAGCAGGGTGTCCCTACAAGATGAGAAGAGACCCAGACAGGGAGGGAACGCCACGGGAAGACACAGATGCACAGGGCAGACACCATGTGACAGTGAAGGCTGGGCTGCAGTGATGCCGCTACAGGCCAAAGAACCCCAAGGAAGGACTGCTGGCAGCACCAGCAACTAAGAGAAAGGCCTGGAACCAATGCCCCACAGCCTTTGTTTGAGAGAGCTCGACTCTGCCGACACCCTAATCCCTGACTTCTGGCCTCCAGAACTATGAAACAGTACGTATCTATTGTTCCAAGCCACCCAGACCGGGCTGCTTCGTGACAGCAGCCCTGGGGAAGCAATGCAGCTCCGTCACAGGGATGTCATTAGGCAGCACAATTGGCACAGGGCAGGGCGTGCGGGGTGAGTGGCAGCTGTAGTCCAGTTTGGCAGGTGGCCCATGCCAAGACCCTTGCTCCTGGCCCCCGTGCTGTCCCCACCTGGCAGGCTTGTCACCTACCTGCTGCTCAGGAAGCCCAGTGCCAGGTCAGCCAGCTCGCCCTCCACCTCCTCCTGGCTCAGCACTGTCCCTGGGAGCTTCCATGGCGCAGGGTTCTCTGGGCTCAGTGGAGCTGGGAAGTCGCAGAGGAAGGCGTCCAGGAAGCCTGGGATCTCCTCTGCCGGCTGGCTGCTCTGCTGGGGGGCTCCAGAGGCCATGCCCAGAGCATCCCGGGGCGGGGGGGGGGGGCTCTGCTGGGATTCCGGATGGTCTTCGCTCTGAGGAGAGACGTGAGGGTCAGAAGACACAGGGGGATCAGTGCTCTTACCCCACAGTGCGGAGTGCGTGGTGCCTTGCTTTCTCTCCTTCACCTGGAGGCATCATGCAGCAAGTGTCACACCAAGCCTGGGGCCTCAAAGCGGAAGGGCAGGGCTACTGGGCCTCACAGAGAGTTCAGGGGACCCAAGTAAGGGGGAGCAACAAGCCTAGCTGGTGTCCTGACACAGTTCCAAGAGGGGCACTCGGAAGCCCAAGAGAAGTGGCTTCAGGAGACAGAGCTGGGATAAGAGGCCACATGGATGCCTTGAAGGAAAAGTGACAGAGAAGGCAGGGATGTTCCTGGTAGGAGATGGCTGCCATGGCCAAAGGCAGGCAGGAGGTGGACACCGGGGCCAGGCCATTGAGGCAGGAAAACACAGAAGGTAAATGGATTCAACCTGACCCTGGGAGCTCGACAGACAGAAGGTGAGGAGGTGATGCCATCACGTCTGTGAGCCCAGTGGCGAGAAGGGATGCCTGTCAAGGGACGAAAAAGAAGGGCCTGGATGGTGCTGGGGCTGGTCCGGGATGTTTTGGATGTGGACCAGAGGGGGAGTAGGAAGAGGCCACAGAGGCTACAGGGCACCTCAGGGTGTGAGCAGGAGAGAAGCGAGGAAAGGGGGACACCTGTGATGTGTCCTCTCTAACAGGAAGAGTCCTGGGCCTCTGAGACCCAGCTGAAGGAGAGGCACCAGGGACAGCCCAGGCCAATGACCCCACTGCTGTGGGCACTGGATTCCCCCTCTCAGGCTCTTCATGCCCTGTCCTCAGGAAGGCCAAGGGCTTACTAGCTACCAGGACCTGTGCATTGCCCATTAACAACCCTGGGAGCCAGGATGAGCCCCCATTTCACAGACAGAAACACTGAGGCTGGGAGATGATGGGGTCCAGGAGGGGTTCTGGAGCCCATACTCATCACCATCCCACCCAGCTCTTCTCCTACAAGGGCCTTACTCACAGCGGGCTCTCGCCATATCCACCTCCCCAAGGTGGGCCTCCAGCTCCTCTCCCCCAGCTCAGGGCCTCCATGTACCACCAGCCTACCCTCTTCCTTCACTCTGCCTCCCAGGGTTCAGGAGCCAGCGAAGGCCTGTGTGTCAGACTCCTGCATGGCCCACCGCCTCTTATGTTCAGCCCTCCAGACCCAAATGGTCCCAGAGCATCTCTCTTCTGGCATACACCCTCCCCCATTTGCTCTCTAGGCCCTACTTCCTACCTCACACCCTCGTGTGCAACCCCCTGGCCACCAATACCAAGCACAGGCCCTTGTCTAGCTCACTCCCCTCTGAGCCTTCCCAGGGCTGGGGCACCCCCAGGGCCTCCACAACACCCAGGTGGGAAGCTTACTTTGGGAGCAGAACCAGAATGAACTCGAGGGTCCAATCCCAAGTTGTAGGCAGAGAATTCGGGGAGCAATTTCACGGCCCATCCCCTCCCTGAGGCCTTCCCGGTTCTGACGAGTACAGGCAGGGAGAAGGCATGGCAGACTCTTCTGGAATTCCTCATGCCTACAAACATTACCAGAGGGCAGCGGTGACAGGGGTTGGAAATTGGAGGCTGGAGGGACCTGCCACCGAGAGGGGGGGTGAGAGCCCGCTCAGCACCCACACCCGTGGGCACGGCTGCCCTTGTCTAGAGCCACTAACTCAGCACAAGTCTGTGGCAGAATAAAGAGGGGAAAAAAAAAACACAAGAAGAGCATGGGGTGAAGGGGAAAGGGAGTTAGTTAAGTGTCTAATCTGGAAAAGACTTGCAAGGACAAGGGAGGGGGGAGTAAGTAAAACAAAACAAAACAAAACAGAACAGAACAGAACAGAACAAAACTAACCCCAAGCCCACAAAACCTCTCTCCTTCAGAGACTTGTCAAAGTTGACTTTTTAAAGCAGACACAGAAATAATACAGAAATTAGGGCACTTATGATGGAAGGTTATGGGGACGGATTTAAAATCATCACTCTCACCCACCTTTACTTATCAGTAAAAGTAAATACAATGCAGACCCGGGTCACAAAAGGCAAACAGGTAAAAAAGATAAAGAGATAAAGCAGCAGGAATCAGGACAAGAGCAGGTTGGACACCCGAGTCATAACCACGAGGGGAAGACTTTGTAAAATGGGGAGATCAGAAAAGGCTGGGAGCCTCGTGGGGGGCTGGTGAGGGCCGCCTGGGGAGCGAGCAGGCCGGCCGAGCTGCTGAGTGAGAACCAAGCCAGGGAAAAACAAGAAGATGGCGAGAATTTCCCAGCAGGCTCCCACAGCCTCCGGCAGAGAAAGAGGCCAAGCCACCTACCTCCTCTGCTTGCGAACAGCTCTGGCCTGTTGCTTAGGGGAGAAATGTGAATAATGCAGGCCTGGTCCCAAGCAACAGCCGGGGCTCCAGGGTCAGGGAAATGCTGTCTGGGTCCCTATGAGCCCAGAAACAATACTCTGCAGGGCTTGGAATCTTTGACAGTGCCCCCTCCTGTAAGCGTATGATTAAGACCTCAGTGAGAGGAGGGCTAGCTCACTGACCTCCCCAGAGTGCACAGGAGGGCCGTGTTTGAGAAAGCCTGGCCCCTGGCGTAAAGCACAGAATACAAGACCCTTCGCCTGTGACCTTACTTGCTGGTGGCATCAGCTCAGCATTTTGGAATGCAGGTACCCAGGGCCATCCTGCCTGCTGAGGACCAAACATGCTGGTTTCTGCATCAGCAGGCGGAGGCGCGGGGCAAGGAGAGGAACCAGGATGTGGCTCTCCTTCTCTAGGGTCCCGCTGGGGTTAAAGATAAGAGTAAGTTCCTTCCTCGCCCTTCTTTTTTTCCCAAGAAACTCTGAATCTGTCACATAAGCCATAAAGAGAGGAGCAAAACAATCCCCTCTCCCAGGAGCCCGGGGCCTACAGATAGAGGCAGGAAAAAGGCAGGGGGCTGTCCTGTGGTCCCGAGCTCTTGCTGGCCCAATGGGGGCAGAGCGGGCAGAGAGCAGGATGAGGTGGTGGGAGGTGAGGCAGAGCTGGGGCAAGGTGTCCAGCTGGATGCAGTGCTGAGCAGGGCTGGGGAGGGGGACTTGCCTGTGAGTCTGGGTTAGTCATCAAGACAAGGAGGGGCCAGGGGAGGCACACTGGGCTGCCAGGCCCCTTGTCACCTGCCTCCACCAGACTGGCCAAACGTGGCGCATGGACCATGGCCTTCCGGCTCCCGGAATGCTGCCGCCCTGCACAGCCCATCAGCCGGCAGCCAAGGCAGCGGGAATAACGACAATCCCAGCTAGCACCCGCCAGCAGCCCCCCGCTGCCCGCACCCATGGCACTCTCCCTGCTACTCCTCTTCCCCACTCCCAGCAACCTGCTGTCATTCTCCCCAGGTAGGGGTCATGACAGGTGGGGGCTACCAGTGGGGAGAGAGAGCAAAAGAACCAAGTGACTCGTTCGAAGTCCCTCGATGGGGTTCACGCTGGGGGCTCACCCACCCACCCCTCGCTGGGTCACCAGCCTGGGAATTCAGTCTCTCATGGCCTCTTCTTCCATCTCTGTGCCCATCACCCTGTTCCAGCCCCTCACCTCCCTACTTCTGTGATTTGCCTTGTCGAATCCCACTTTGGCCCCACCCCTACCCCAGACCCTCTGAGCCAAGCCCTGCTGAACTGCGACACCTTTGGGGTCCAGCGCACTGCCTTCCATGTGCTCGATCCCAAAGAAAAAAATATTTATTTTCCTCTAGTTTATCGGTTTTGACTCATAAACTCAACTAACGCATATTTGTACAACTGGCTTTTTCTTGATTAAAAAAAATTTTATTTATTTTAGAGAGAGAGGGAGCATAAGCAGGTGGAAGGGCAGAGGGGGAGAGAGAATCCTCAAGCAGCCTCCCAGCTAAGGGCAGAGTCCAACCCAGGGCTCGATCCCAGGTCTGAGCTCATGACCCGAGCTGAAATCCAGAGTCGGCCGCTTAACCAACTGAGGCACCCAGGCGCCAACTGCCTTTTTCTAGATGGTACAGACAAAATACTTGTTGAGAGTCCTGCTCAACTTCAGAACCCAGGAGTAAGGCAGAAGACAGCAATCCTTAAAACTGTGTCATCGTTACAACAGTATTGCCTTCTTTATTAAAAGCTTTTCTGTAAATGGAGAATCTTGTTTATTCCTAAGTAACCACTGCGAAGAATATGGTGTCAATTTTCCAGATCTTTTCCTACACATATATCTTTTTTTCTTAAAAAATGTAGCTAAAATACACGTGACATACAGTTTATTGTTCTGCCCGTTTTCCCCTCTCCAGTTCTGGGGCATTAGGTACATTCACATTGTTGGGGACTCACCACTTTCTACAGGCTTGACTTTCTCAACTAGATGCTCTGCTCCCTGAGTCAGGAAGCCCACCCCTCTGTGCATGGCAGCTGGCAAGTGTGACGGCAGAGGGAAGATGCAGGCTGCCTTCTGCCACTGCCAGTGGGTGGTGTGGGCTGAGATAAGCACCCTGAGGCCTGACACCTTCAAAGAGGAAGTTAGGATATTCTGGGGAGAACCCCGATCGTGACCGTGATCAGAGGAGAAAGGTTTTAAAGGCAGGGATGGCCTCTGGCAGTATCTGAAAGGAATTCTACAAATGAACTGGTAAGGAGGTTTACAGCTTTCAAAGTGGTATTTGGAGTGGTATTTGTTTTGTTACCTCTTGCACAACTCTCCTGAGAATAAGCTGTTAGGCCACACCGCAGATGAAGAAATATTCTCTGGGAGGGTAAGCTGTCTGCCTAAGGTCACACAGGTAGGAAACGGCAAAGCCGGACTCACAGAAGGTCTTCTGACACCTTTTGTCGCTTCCGGCTTGGTTACAGGAGGGAAAGAGTGAGATCAGACAATAGGACAGATATGGCCACGAAAGCCAGAAGTAAGGGGCGCCTCAGTGATGCAGTCGGTTGAGCGACCGACTCTTGGCTTCAGCTGGGGTCGTGATCTCAGGGTTGTGAGATCCAGCCTGGTGTGGAGCCAGACACTAGGCTCCGTGCTCACCCGGGAGTCTGCTGGGGTTTCTCCCTCTCCCCTGTTTGCTCACTCTGGCTTTCTCTCTCTCTCTCTCTGAAATAAATAAATCTTTAAAAAAAAAAAAAAAAAAGGCCAGAAGTGTGCTAAAGATGACCTCACAGAGCTGGCCTTACATTCTATCTCCCTTGGTGGGAGTATAGCTCTGCCCACAGGCCTTGCCCCAGGAAGTACCAGGTGGACATGTGTCACTCAGGCCATGTGTCCTGCTGCGTGGAAGGCTGTGGGGGAGGAGTCCATCACTATCAACTAGTCCTGGCTGTGTGTTAAGCCCTGCATTAAAATCTCTAGAACTGGGTGCCATTTCTCCCTACTGCACAGAGGTTAGAAGGCTTGCCTGAGGTCACACAACAACCAGTGGTGAAGTCTATTACCTCCCTGCCTGAAATTCCTATCACACACCTAGGGCTGAAAGGGCAGCAGCCCAAGCATTCGCTTTCACTAAAACACTCGCTTTAAATCACTTGGACGGGGGCCACGGGCGGGGGCAGGCCGCGGGGTAAGGGCACGTGGCAGAGATGTGGACCCGCAAAGGTGCAGGGGCTGGTGGGGTAGGTGTCAGGGCAGTGGGCCCAGCCCAGATGCTCCTAAGAACAGGGGCTCGGCCACGGGCAAATGGGGGTACGTCGCCCCTCAACATCCATTCTGCAACACCGCCTTCGGTTCCCACCTGGTCTTCGGCTTGGCCACACCCCCGCCGGCCCCTGGCCCCCCAGGCCTACACCCTTGCCTCCCTGGCCCTCCAATTCTCTGCCTCGGGTTCCTCAGGTCTTTGGTTACTCCCTCCGTTCTTCAGTCCCCCACTCTGCCCCTGAACCCCTTGGATCTTCCCGTCTCGGCCTCCCTGCCTCCCCAGCCCCCCTATTCCGCACCCTCCGGTTTCTCAGCGCCCCGTTTCACCCCTATACGTCTCAAGTCCCCACCTGAGCCTCACTCCAGCGAGGTCAGCCCCCCGGTCCCATGCCCCGGGCCTCCTCACCCCCGGGAACCCCACAGCCTCACCTGCTACTCCGCGGCTCCCTGCCCCGCGAGCCGCTCCCGGCCGGCCCCGCCCACTTCCCGTCCCCAGCCGCCTCGGGCTCCGCGCAGGCGCAGTCGGGCCGAGGACGGGCGGGGTAGGGCCTCTGCTGCCCCCTGGCGGCCTCACGGCCTTTTCGTTACCGGTGGAGAAGAGCTGCGTTCCTCCCAAAAAGGGTCGCGCGGCGACACGGTCCCCATCCTGGGTTCTGGAGCAAAACGTGTGATCACTGGCGAACTGCTTCCCTTCTCAAGCCTCGGGTGGCTGGGTAGATGGGGAAAGCAATCCCTATCTCACAGCGCCCAGATATTAAGCAACATGTGCTGTGGGCAGCTGGTGAGCTGCAGAGGCAGGCACATACAGACCCAGACTGCCCCAGGGCCGGTGGGCTATCAGGGGAGGAGGCACAGCCCCTGGGGGCCCAGCATACTTTTGGCGGTTGTGTTCGTTTCTTATTGCTGCTATGACAATTACCACAAACTTACACAAATTTATTATTTACAATTCTTTTTTTTTTTTTTAAAGATTTTATTTATTTGACAGAGAGAGATCACAAGTGGGCAGAGAGGCAAGCAGAGAGAGAGAGAGGAGGAAGCAGGCTCCCGGCAGAGCAGAGAGCCCGATGTGGGACTGGATCCCAGGACCCTGAGATCATGACCTGAGCTGAAGTCAGAGGCTTAACCCACTGAGCCATCCAGGTGCCCCTATTATTTACAATTCTGGAGGTCAGAAGCCTGCAAGAGATGATGGGCTGTAAATTTGAAGTGTTGGTGGGGTGCGTTCCTTTCTGGGGGCTCTAGCCAGGAATTGTTCCCTTGCTTTACTGGTTCCTAAAGACTGCCCATTCCTTGGCTTGCAGCCTCTTCCACGTTCAAAGCCAGGAACATCTGGACAAGTCCTCCTGCTGCCACCTCTCTGGTCCTCTCCTTGGATTCCCTGTTCCATTTTTAAAGACCTTTATGGGGGCGCCTGGGTGGCTCAGTGGTTAAAGCCTCTGCCTTCCGCTCAGGTCATGATCCCAGGGTCCTGGGATCGAGCCTCACATCGGGCTCTCTGCTCAGCAGGGAGCCTGCCTCCTCCTCCTCTCTCTCTCTGCCTGCCTCTCTGCCTACTTGTGATCTGTCTGTCAAATAAATAAAAATCTTAAAAAAAAAAATAAAGACCTTTATGATGCCACTGGGCTGCCCAGATGAGATAGGAAAATCTCAGTATTGTAAAGTTAGATGATGGGGTGCCGGAGTGGGTTGAGCCGGAGAACCCTTGGTTTTGGCTCAGGTCATGATCCAGGGGTCCAGGGATCTAGCCCTGCTGGGAGTCTGTTGGAGATTCTCGCCTCTCCTTCTGCCTGCGGGCACTCTCTCTCTCTGATGGATAAATCTTTTTTTTTTTTAAGATTTTATTTATTATTATTATTTGACAGAGAGAGACACAGCGAGAGAGGGAGCACAAGCAGGGAGAGTGGGAGAGGGAAAAGCAGGCTTCCCGCTGAGCAGGGAGCCCGATGTGGGGCTCTGTCCCAGGCCCCTGGGATTATGACCTGAGCTGAAGGCAGCCGCTTAACGACTGAGCCCCCAGGTGCCCCATAGATAGATAAATAAAATAAGACAGATAAATAAGATAGATAAACCAATCTTTAAAAAAAAGTTAGATGGGGCGCCTGGGTGGCTCAGTGGGTTAAGCCTCTGCCTTCGGCTCTGGTCATGATCTCAGGGTCCTGGGATCTAGTCCCATATCGGGCTGTCTGCTCAGCAGGGAGCCTGCTTCCCCCTCTCTCTCTGCCTGCCTCTCTGCCTACTTGTGATCTCTCTCTCTCTCTGTCAAATAAATAAATAAAATCTTAAAAAAAAAAAGAAAAGAAAATTTAAAAAAAAAGTTAGATGATGTGACACCTACATTCTGTCTGCAACCCTGGTTCTCCTTTGTCATCCAACACACATTCCAGGTATGAAGACCTGGACATCTTCGGAGGGGGCATATTTTTGCCACCAAAGAGGCCCATGAAAACATTTTGTCTTCGAGCTAGAAGAAATAAATAAATTTTGAGATCAAAGGACATGTTTTAACATACAGTATTAATATAGTCATCTTTATATTAATGCAGTTGTATGGTATAATTAAAAAAATTAAAAACATTTTATGGAAGTAGGGCCCTCTAAAGCCGTACTGCAGCCCTACCTCCTTGACTTTCAGGCCCACATATGGGGCTCTGTTCTTCCCAGGAATCACAGTCTCCGGGATGCTTCACTAACAGGAGGGGTTTAGGAAAGCAAGGAACCTTGGAGAACTAGCAGCTGGCTGATGTGAAAGGAAACCATTTCGGGTAGAGGCAAGCCTGGAAGGCAGGGAGTATTTAGGCAGAGAAAGCAGGGTGGGACAGAGGCGCTGGCTCACGTCATTCTCCTACTTACACCTTCTTAGATCCTATAACCCCCTGTCAGTGTGATGACCCCAAGCAAGGCTTGAGGTTACTTTTTTTTTTTTTTTTTAAGATTTATTTATTTATTTGACCGACAGAGATCACAAATAGGCAGAGAGGCAGGCAGAGAGAGAGGGGAAGCAGGCTCCCCGCCAAGCAGAGAGCCTGATGTGGGGCTCGATCCCAGGACCCTGGGACCATGACCTGAGCCGAAGGCAGAGGCTTTAACCCACTGAGCCACCCAGGTGCCCCTTGAGGTTACTTCTTATGACTTGTCCTACCTTGGGCATGTTCCTTAGCTCATCTGAGCCTGTTTCCTTATCAGGAAAATGGGGACTGTAACAACCAAGCTATCTCACAGGGTCGTTGTGAGACCCTGCATCAGTGTTTTTCAAAGTCTGTCCAGACTGCCGGCATCAGGATGACTATGAGGTGAAGTTTGAGAACTAGGGCACAGGTGAAGTGGTACTTGGCACAGGCCCTCCTGCACGGTGAAATGGGGTGCCTGTGAAAGCTGGGGTCCCTGCGGACCTCCTTAGCGAGGGCCTACATTAGATTCTTTGAAGCACTGATTGCATTCAGTGTTGGTGGCTTAGAGATAACAGCAAAGTGAGGCACTGCCACTTGGCCTGGAGCTGGCCCTTTAGGGGAACTAGGCCAAGGCGTTTCCTGTGAGATGACTTGTGCCCTGTGGCTTCTGGCAACCCCTCCCCTGTGAATTCCATCACGCCTCAGCTTCTGGCTCTTGGCTTTCACCTTTGTGAAAGGAATCTTTCCATGTCATCCACCCCACCCAGCCACCGCCTTCGAGCTCTGCCTCTCTTACCGGGCTGCGCCCCTGGCGGAGGTGAGCAGACCACACGGAGCTCCCAAAGTGTTCAGCCTGGGTTTTGCTACTGTCTCTGCCCCCTTTGGCAACCCCTTCCTTGTCCCCACATGTCCATTATTCTGAAACCCCACCCCAAACCCTCTACTCCCTCTGACACGACCTCAGGCGTCTGGGGATGGTAACACCTAACCTCCTCCTATCTTCCTGCCCCGCCCCTTCTCACTTTGCCAGACCCATTGTAGACATGGGTCGACACAGGTCTAAATGGGGTGGTGACATTGCTCTTGGGTTTTCGAACCATCAGCCATGCTGTGACCTTGGAAAGAAGGGACAAACCCTCACCCCTGACTTTCGGGTCTCCCGCTTGGCTTCCCATTGCCGGCAGTGCCGCTTTCTCCAAGGGGGCCCGTGGAGCATCTTGGCCGCTGGTAACTGCAGGTCTGCGGTGGCTTCTCCCATCTAGCAGCCCTGGAAGGTGTGCCGCACTCGACTGAGCAAACGCACATGAGGCACATAGTGGCGATGTGCACCAGAGTCTCGAAGTGACAGGGATGGATGTTGTCCAGGGCAATTCAGCGGCACAACCAGGCCCTGTTTCCGTGAGTCATGCTCGAAGGCCTAGTCTGAAGGAGTTCTGGCCCCCAGAGCAGGTCAGCCTGAAGCTACAGACCTCCTTGACCTCAAGGGCAGAAGGTGCAGTCCTAAGGAGCACAGAAGGCTGTTCCAGCCAGAGCGGGCCTTGTCTCTTCCTCTCCTCCTGGCTCCTGCAGCCACGCTGGAAGAGTTGTATGCTGTTGGATGATTCGAGATGATGGGACCCAAAAGGTAGACTCCAGCTTCGAATGCTAAGGAGATTCACACACAAGGGACAGTTGCAGAGAAAAATGAACGAATCCTTTATGATTAGCCCTGCTTGGGGCTGAAATCTCAGTGCAGGATCCTGGTAAGGAATACGTAGTTTGGGTTTAAAGCCTAAGGTACAGTCTCTGCCCTACCGCAAGCCCCTCTGGCCATCCACCTGGGCTGTGTGTGTGTGTGACAGAGAGAGAGAGATCCCAGAGCAGAATGGAGTTGGGTCACCCTCCCATGGAGAAGGCCCTGGGTCCACTTGCTATGTGATGGGCTGGCAGAGCAGCCACAGCCCTGTGCCAGGGACACTATCCACTAGCAGATGTGGCCTTGCTGGTGCCCCCCGAGTCTGGTTCTAGCAAGAGGGGAGGTGGGGAGGAACACAAGCATTCCGAGTGCCCCCCCTTCCCCTGGGATACCATCCCACCCAGCAGCTTCCGGGGAGTCTGCTCTCAGGTCACGTCGTCATCTCCCCGGCTCACTGCATATTTTCTTTGAGCTTCTAGAGTTCTTTCACGGTGTTCCTGGGACACCTGGGTTGTTCGCTGGGGCCTCCCAAAAGAGGGAGCCTGGAGGGTGCAGCACTGGCTTGGAATGCTGGGCCGTCACAAGTTTATTGATGGAAGCTCTTCCCAGAGCCTTGTACGTTCCAGTGTGGACTGTGAGTTTGCTGCCCAGATAGGGAGTCCACATGCAAAACGTCCCTGACCTGTCCCTCACAGAGGTGTAGTACCATACTGCTTGGAAAGCTGTTCTATCTACCACCTCCCTGCAGGGGCTGGAGCAATAAAGGGGCATGGGAAGGATGGCAGGTGGGGCACAGCTCACAGGGCGGTTTGGCTGATGGGTTCTTTCCTAAATCGGACAGATGGTTTCTGTCCGACAAATCGCAGATGGCTTCTGTGGGGTCCCTCTGGTTCAGCACAGCACCCACACCCAGCTCCTCCTAGGAAGTGGCTGGCCTGCCTCTGTCTGGGACAATAAGGGCTCATGGGAGAGCAAGAATCAGGACAGGCCCTGGGAGGCCACAATGGTTGCACGCACCACACACAGGCCTGCTCAGAGCCACCCTCTGACCCCAAACAGTGGGCTGTGGGGATGGCCAAGGTCTGGTGAGGACTTCTTTCAGCCCTGCCTCCTTCCACAGGTGGCCCTCCTATGACACAGGCCTGGGAAGACAGGCAGTTGGGGCCCTTCTTTCTTCCTTGCCTTGCAGGGAATGCCTCCTGCAAGGAGGGGACACCTCCTACTTGTGCACACAGCTACCATGCGTTCCCACACGTGCTGAAGTAAGATGTGAGCCTTGGACTGGGCTCGATCCCCCTTTCTACACTCGGTGGCCTCCCTATGGGCAGCACCGGGCTGTGGGCAGAGCAAGGGTACTCAGGAGGTGTGTGCAGAATGGAGGGAGAACTGGGACAAGGATGCTGGGAAGGGCAAGGAGGAGATGGGCAGGGAGGACCCCATAATCCTCGGGCGCCAGTGAAAGGTCCCGAGCCGCTTGCTCTGGAGAAGAACAAAATGCATTTTAATGATTTCTGCAGCCCACAGGACACCCATGTGGGGCCTAGCGAGGGATGGCAAGGCCATCACACAAAGTAGGCGGCCAGGGCTGACATCTTGTCCTTGGGCCGCCTGGCACTGGGCTTGCCAGGGGGCCGCCGACCCCGGGCCCGCCCTCGGCCCTGCCTCCTCCCTGGGCCGCCGCGGTGCATGGGGTGGCAGGAGGCTGCATGCTTCAGCTCCACGAGCTCCTGGAAGATGGGGTCGCAGAAGACACAGCCCGTGTGCTGTGTCTCGTCGCCCGGGAGTGGGGACTTGGCCTTGTTGAAGTCCACGGCGAGCAGGGCAGCCTCGCAGGTGCGGCAGGTGTCGGCGGACACGCGCACACGGTAGGCATTCTCGAAGCAGTGTGCCACCACATTGCACTTGTTGCATGCCACCTTCCACTTGGGGCCCGAGGTGGGGTCCAGCACCAGCACGCCGCCCTCACAGCCCACGCACTGGCCGATGCCCAGCATGCTCAGCGAGTGCTGACACGTGGGGTGTGTGCACTCGTTGCAGCCCATGCCTGGTGGGGGGGGAGGGCAGCCCATGATGCACACCCCCATCTCCTCCCCCTTCCCCCCCAGGAGCCTCCTCCCAGGGTCTCACGGTCCGGAACCGTCATCCCAACAAGAAGTGTTCCTCTCGGCCTTGTTTATGCTGGCTCTCAGTACCTCTGCTGCCACTGCCCCTGCTTCTCTGCTTCTCTAAAACCTCCTCAACCTTCGAGAGCCAACCCCCCATCATTTCTAGAAGGCCTTCCTGGTGGCCTCCAGCCAGGTTCATCCCCCCCTTTGTTTTGCTTCCACAGCTCATTCCAAGCTCCAGCCAAGTGGCTCTTATGCCATAAGATTACACGGGGCCATTGGCCTCCCTGGAAGCTGCTGGAGGGCAGGGAAGGGCCTCAGTGATGCCAGCAGCTCAAATGCAGACTGTCCCTGCCACACAGGGGAGGCCCGAGTCAGGAGGGGTGAACGGAGACCCCTGAGGACTCCCCAGGCCTCCAGGTGAAGGTGGGTAGATGCCTCTCACTGTGCCTCATTCCTGTCTATGGCATGGGGTGATGACACAAGGGGCTGGGTGTGCTGTAAAGGACAGCATAGCCAAGGGCGAGCATGCTAGGCCCTGGGCCCCCTCTAGACTCTCGGTCCCACCTGGACACATGCTTCCCTTTGTCCAGTAATAACCGTGAGGAGACAGAACAGTGGTAGACACTGACTGAGAGCACACCCCCTTGCCAGGAGGGGTCCCCCAGATGGCTGCATCCTCTCACTTGGGAGAGGGCACAGCACGCCTGCTGCCCAGATCCCGAACGAGCTGACTATAGTTGCCCAGTCGACTCTGACCGGCATGGAGAGAGGCAGACAGCTGGGCCACCTCAGCAGGGCCCAAATCCACCCCAGGTCTCCTACTCCCACACTGGTGTGGGGGCTGGGGCTGGGGCAGGGCCCCTCAGAGACCAGCATGGTGTGGGGCCGGGGCGGGCCCCAAAGAGGCACTATGGACACCCAGGGGGACAGGCCAGCCTGTCTCTGGAGGGAGCGGCCGAGGCCCAGAGACATGGCACTCACCTTTCTTCATGTCTCGGAAGGGTGGGTGGTTGGAGCAATAGGGGCACAGTGGATAGCTCTTGCCCCGAGAGCCCGATGACCACAGGACCAGCTCGAAGTCATCCAGTGGGCACCGGAGCTCCTTGTAGAGCTTGATGGTGCCGTTCTGGGGGAGCGTGTAGGTCTCGTCACAGTGTGAGCAGTGCAGGCGGCTTGGCTTGGCCTGAGGTAACACCAGTGAGGGGGTTTGGGGTCACTGAACTTTCGGGGTCACCCAACTTTCCTGCCCACCCTCATTCTCATGATACCGAAGTAACTGGTAACATGTAATCCACAATGCATGTAACATGTAATCTATTACATAGGACACACAACACAGCATATGCAACATGTAACAAGTCATGCACAATGTAATATGTGATACAGAAAATGTAACATGTAATACATAATATACAATATATCATATATGTCATATATATGATATATATCATGTATACGTTGTGTCATATATATGTCATATATATATCATACATACGTTGTGTAGAGAATATGTAGGTACTGTGTAGTACATAGCACCAACATGTAACGTGTAACACGATAGTGTAACTCTGTACGTAACAGAATGCAGACACATAATACGCGTGTTGTATGTAATAGGTAACAGGTCACACATAACACAAAACGTGGAATGTGTTGCCAGGCAACAATCTCTCAGGCAAGGACCCCTGGCCACGAGTCTCAGCACACTTGCTGCACGCATGAAGAAAGGCAGTTCTAAATCCCCTGCGTGTACACAAGTACCCAGGACAGCAAATAATGTTTTGTTAGGAAAAACCAGACAATGTGTTTAAGTGGCCTCACAGTGTACATGTCCCTGGGGTCAGGGGACACTATGGGTGTCTGTGGGCAAGGCCGCGGTAGGCCTCTCATGCTTGTGTGACAACCAGGACCAAGACCGTTATTCCCGCAGGATTGAAGATAAAGCAGAGGCTTCCACAGGTGGCAAGACTTGACCGAGTCTATGCCTGCAGGGGCCGGAGGTTAGAGGGGAGGCCACAGCCCTTCACCCCGCTTACCTGGATGTACTTCATAAACCGGTGGCACTTCCCACAGCGGGACAGGGGCTTGCCCGTGGCCGCCAGGGGCGAAAAAGACACCTCCATCAGCTCGTCCATGCCTGGGGGCAAGCAGTGCGGGGAAGAGTCACATCCTCTGGGCCCGGCAGCCCACCCGCACCTCAGGCAGGCGGGTGGAGGGGAGGTCCCCATGAGTGGGCCAGGACCTGAGTGTATGCGTCTCAATCCCCAAGGGTGCGGGGGGGTCACAGAAGGGCAGAGCTGCCGCCTCACTGGTCACCTGAGCCGGTGGCTTGTGTGCGGTGGTGAGATGCCTGTGCTTTAACCCCGATGATGACGACAGCCTGGCAGTGAGGCACCACTGCCTTGTCCTCCCAATGGAGCCCCAGAGTCTGGACCCCAGATCTGGACACCAGTCCCGCATGGCCATGGTGGCCCTGACCATGTAGAACTTCCCAGGGGTAGGGAAGAGGGGGCCTCACCGGCGATAGAGTCCACGAAGTAGTGGAACTTCCTCTTGAAGACGTCCAGTGTGTGGCCCAGGACCTGGCGGTAGTCAGCCTTGCCCTGGGCGATCAGGTTTAGCTGCTTCTCGACTGCACTGCGGATGGTGGGGAGCACCAGCTCTGCGTCTGCAAGGTGCGGCGGTGGGGAGGGGTCAGGTGCCACTGGGAGCACTCACATCAAGAGGTTGTGGCTGGCCCCCACCAGCTCAGCCTGGAGTCCCGTGACCCCAGGCCCTTCCTCATCTCCTACCCAGAAAATCCTGTGTGGAGTGGCCAGGGGCATCCTGTCTCTGGGACAGTGTCACAGTTCCTGGGAGTCCTGGGGCCAGGCCTGTGCCCCACCATCTCCCCTGGTCTCCTTGCAATCTCTCAGGGACAGAGCAGACAGCTCTGCAAGGAGGACCCAGGGCCCAGCTGGTCTGTGGGGAAGCACCCCTTGCACCTCCTCTTTTGGAACCTTTGCACTTGTCCATCCATCCATCAACAATATGGAGCACCCTGCTGGGAAACGTCCTCTGGTGGGGGCTGGTATAGTACCCTTGCAGTGGGAGGTAGGACCCTCCCACAGGGAGCCATAGCCGGCCAGACTCACCAATCTTGTAGTAGCCATGCACCAGGACGATGCCCAGGTTGGTGGGCTTGAGCCGGCGCCCACTCTCCACAGTGACATAGTTGCGTTGACAGATGTTGTTGATGTGCACAGGGATGCTGGCGTCCGTCCCTGCAATACACAGCAAGGCTCTGGAGTTCCTCAGCTTGCCCCCAACACGCTGTAGGCTCCACAACTGCACCCACCCCCCACGGGGCCCCCAGTTCTCAGCCCCTTCCCCTGTTTCCGGCCAGCACTGTGTGGGACACTAAGTGTGTGTTTCAAGAATGGTCTCGTGAATCCAAAGATGGTTCTCCCAGTGCCAGTGCTGGGGGCTTAATACCTGTCTACAGACAACAGAGGCTCACAGAGGTTAAGGAACTCTGCCAATGTCACGGGAGCTCATTCCACCTGCCCCTCACACCTGGGAAAGGTGACCGCCTCGGGCTCTCCCGCCTTGATTCTAAGATACCTGAGCCTTCTGGAACCAGGGCTCAAGACCCTGAACACAGAGGAACTCCCAGGCTTGCTGCCAGATCGTGCCCTCTGAAACCTGCTCAGGATCGCCCACTTTCTGGCTCCCAGGTGCCTCGTGATCAGTTTCCGGGGCGGGACCTCCCCTGGAGACTTCAAAGTCACCTGGCACTGCCAGATGCTGTCCTTACAGCTCCACCGTGCTGAGTAATCTCCTTAGATGGTGCTCAGAGGCTAACGGGATCACACTTGAAGGATAATGCTGGGACTGGGGTCTGGATCCCTTACATTCTTGCCACTGCTGGAGGGGAGAGCCTCTTTAAACAGCCCTGGGGGCCCCAAGTCAACAGGGCTGCTTTTGGCTACTGCCTGGTTCAGAAGGTCACAAGAGCCCTCTCCATGGACACAAACTCATTTTGGTCATGGGGTCTAAGGAGCCATGGATTTGTCAATGGAGAAGGACAGAGGATGCTGGGGGAGCAGCACCCACACCCCACAGGTCCTCTGTACCTGAGGACCCAGGGTAGGACCCACAGCAGGCACCATGTCCCTGGGAAGAAGCAGGTGCAGCTCTCCAGCTGAGGCCTCCACTGTCCCCAGAGTCCCAGCCTCAGGTGGGACGTCACCCGTCATAATTGTTGGTGACAGAGCAGAAGCCAGGTATAACAACTGGGATGCTCGAGGCCCTCCAGAGCCTGGTCAGCTGTGGGGCACATCAGGGACCAGGCAGCTCCCATCGGAGTGAACACTGCCTGAGGAGCTGGCCACATCCTGGGCGCCAATTACCAGGTGCTGGGCACGGAGGGGTCACGGAGCAGCTCTGGAAGCACCATCTCCTGGACCATGGTCCCAGGATGGGGACCCTTGGGCCCAGGGCCCAGGCGGACAGGTGCACCCACCGATGCCATGCTTCTCCATGAGTGTGATGAGCTCAGCCTCAGTCAGGTAGTCGGGCGGGCTCGTCTGCTTCTCCAGCAACTTTATCTCGCTCACAGGAAAGGTGTCGCCCCTCTGGCAGGTGGGCAGGCTCTCCTCCAGAGGCACGCTCTGCCAGGGCATGATCTCCGTGAAGCCTAGGGACACAAAATGCGACCACTCAGGGTCCTGCCCAGGCAGCCCAGGCCCGAGACACTGGGCCACCCTCTCCCGGAACGATGGAGAACATTCTGTTAGTCTGTGGAGGTGTGGGAGGAGCCACAGTGGGATGCGCAGCTGTACCTGGAGAGATGACAGTTTTGCCCGTGCAGGTGAAGTGCTCAGGCCCGATTCTGAAGGCGATGGTGCTCTGGAGGTACTTGCAGTCGTAGCTCACCGTGGCGATGAAGTGTCTGGTGATGTACTCATACAGCCGCCATGCCTCGCCCCCTGCAACACGCGCGGAAGCTTGTCACTGGCCAGGGACTGGTTCTAGGCCCCCCCCCCCTCCCACCAACAGCTCTCCCTTAGGCAGCAGGGCCCTGGCTGTTGGCACAGGATGGCAGGGCTGGCCTGCACTGACGGTCAAGAGCAAAGGAGGAAACACAGGAAGAGAAAGTGACTCTCCCCGGCTGCGGCGGTTCCTTTCCCACATCCACCCCCGTACTGACGTGGGACTGCACTTCAGGACCTGGCCGGTCTGCAGCAAAGGACTTACCACCATCACTTCAAACTCGGGCTGTGCACAGTGGCCAGTCTCTACGGGTACAGTTCTCCCCTTCCCTGCCTCCTCCCAGGACATAGGCCACCAGCACCACCTTGGTAGGCGGGGCCCTAGCACTCCCTGTCTTGGTCCTGGCCTGTTCTGTCCTGGCCCATCTGTATCCCCCTCCTGCTCCTGCCTCCTGCCAGCGGCCACTGCAGTCCTGTCCTGTCTCACAGCCACAGAACACAACTCTCAGGGGACCCCCTCTGCCACAGCCAGGGGCAGGTGGGGAAGGGAGGGAGCCCCCACATTGCCAATGGGGCCTGACGCCGTCCAAAGGTGCCACGTGACAGTAGCTTCGCACCCAGAAGCCTGGAGTGGGTATGTGTGCGTGTGTGTTGGGGGGAGTGTCCAATACCTAATTCGGCCTCAGTGGCAGACCTCATGGGGGTGATGGGGGGATGGTCACCAGCATCGTGGCCCTTCCGTGGCCGGTTGATACCTTCTGCTAATAAGCGCTTTACCTGAGTTAGAGAAGACAAGGTGGTGTGTAAGTCTGGACACAGCCGTCTTCCCACAGGGAGGGAGCCAGCACCAGTCCCAGGTTTGGCCAAAGCGCCTGGGCTGGGTCCCCAGACCCTGGCAACAAGCGTGCCCAGTGGCTCTGCTCACCGTGTCAGCCCAGTAGGGGTGATTGGCCTGTTGCCGCAGAGGGCCCTTCAGGTCGAAGTTCTCGGGGTAGTGGGTGGTCTCGGTCCGCGGGTAGCTGATATAGCCTTGTGTGTAGAGCCGCTCGGCGGTCTGCATGGCATGCTGTGGCCCCATGCCTGCAAGAGAGGGCAGGCTCAGCTGGACCGGAGTGCCGGGGATGGCCAGGCCCCTGCCCATGGGCCTGGGCACTCGGGCTCCCCACCCAAGGCGGCCAGGGCCTCCTGGTAGGTGAGGATGGCTCCGAGTGGGCACTGCAAGCACATGGAGCTACTGGCCAGGCATCTGTGCCTGGGCAGCATTCTCGAAGGCCAAGGTCCTGAACTTGTGAAGTGGACCTAGGATAGGAACGCTCCACAGTCCCACCCTCATGACATGGGCTATGCCGATTCAATGTGGGCTCCAGAGTGCTGATCTCGCACACTCCATGGAGCACCTGGGGTCTGCTTCGGGGTTGGCTGACGCTATGACAGCAGAATTAGCAATCGCCCCCCATTCTGAGCCACCTGGGTATTTCTGTCCTCATGGCACTCCGGGACCACCGAGGGATGGCTTATCCTCCTGCTTCTCCCTGACCAGCAGATGCTGGCCCTCAGCTGTCGGTCACTTGGTGTCATCACTGCCCTGAGGATCCCTGAAGGTGCCACTCTGCAAGGACACTGTCTAGGTTCCCCAGGCTGCAGAGGCTACCAATGCCTTGAGGCCAACAGCTGTCAGAGAAGGCTGACTTTCCAGTCCCAACCCCTTATCACTACCATGGAAATGAGGCTAAGAGAGATTACATCAACACTGGTCACATTTGTCTATGCAGGAGGTGGGTCCAGAGCGCCAGCCTCCCACTCGTGGCCTCTCCCCCTATATCAGGGAAGCTGCTCTGGGTTGCTAATGCCAGGATGCCCCTGTCGGGTAGTGGCACTCACTGCCTCCACTCTTGTGAGGGTGCACCATCTCAGTCATGTCATCCTCAGAACAAGCAAGCCCCTGCAATGGCCATGATGGCCGCCCTGGGTTCCTGTAAGGAAATCGAGGCTCTGGGACAACAAAGAAAGTAGCCAAGCTGAGATGGCACCAGAGTTTGGGTCCAGAGCTGGAACTCCATCGTCTAATGCCTCTGAGGGGACTCCACTGAGCCAGTGAAACATGAGGGCTTGCCCTGCAGGGGATCCCTAACCATGGGCTTCCATGTGTTCAACCCAGGCAGCAGCTGAGGAGATGTTTAGTAATACAAAATGGTCTGAGTTCTCCCCACATAAATTCAAAGAAGCTGCTGAATATTAACCAACAATCCTCTGAGAAGGGATCCTCTTGCGTGTTAGTTTGTTAATAGTTATTTTCACTCTGCAATTTAAGAAAAATGAATTCTGCATGAAGCTCAGATTCCCACGAAGCCTCACAGGATACTGCAGGTGGGCTGTTCCTTGACGCAAGTGAGCATGGGGCGGGGGGCACTCGGCACAGGTGAGCACAGAGCGAGGGGCCTCAGCATGGGGGAGCAGAGTGGGGGGCGGGGGAGGCACTTGGCATAGGTGAGCACAGAGCAAGGGGCCTCAGCAAGGGGGAGAATACAGAGGGGCCTAGGGGGCAGTTGGCACAGGTGAGCATGGAGGGGGCTACTTGGCATAGGAGAGCACAGAGCGAGGGGCCTCAGTATGGGTGAGCACACAGAGGGGGGGGCGGGGGGGCACGTGGCATAGGTGAGCATGGAGGGGGCTACTCGGCGCAGGTGAGCACAGAGCAAGGGGCCTCTGCAGGGGTAAGGACAGTGGGAGACTGGGGGGGCACTCAGCATAGGTGAGCGTGGAGGGAGAGTGCTGGTAGTAGTGGCGAGAGCATCAGCATTGGCCCCCATCCCCAGGCGCTGCACCAGGGCTGAACGGTGAGCCGTGGGCCCGTCCCAGGAAGTCTTTGGTGGGCTTTGAGGAACACCCCTACATACCCAGAGAAGAGCTTGCTACTCGCAGCATCTCCACAGTGTTCAGGGCGAGGGGCCGCTGCTTGGCCTTCTCTTTCCTGCTTGTGGCCTCCACCTAGAAGACAGCACCGTCAGGGATTCCGGTGGAGGGGAAGGATGCCGTAATAGAGAATCCGGCTGTGTGGGCAAAAGGTCTGGTTTCATTCACTTGGTCTCTCTGCTTCTCAATTTCACTCTTTACAGTGGTCTCAAGACTTGAATATTTATTTAGGCCCAGAAAAGGAAAAAGAAAAAAAAAAAAACTCTTTTCTAGAGAATTTCTAGGGAAAGAGAAAACTTGGAAGAATGGCAAAGAGCCAAGAGAAGGGGTTGTGAACTCAAAATCCTCCAGGAGCCAGTGGCAGCCAGGCGGCCCGGCCACGGGGATGGCAGGTGAGGCCTGAGCCAGGCCACAGAGCTCGGGCCCACCCCAGGAGCAGCTGCTCGCCCCTCGCTGCCCCCGAACATCCCACAAGGGCCTACTGGCATTGCCTCATCTTCCAGTTCGTTCCTACTGGCATTGCCTCATCTTCCAGTTCGTCAACAAAAGCTGCAAATCAGGACTTTTATGTGAAATCCTGTAATTTTCCAATTTTGGTAACTATTTTAAAATACTCGTAAACACCATGCAGTTTAAAGAAAATACTGGTCAGCTTCAAAGTCTGGGCTGAGCGGCTGTCAGAAGAGAGGGCTCTGTCTTGCCTGAGGCAAAAACAATCCAAACAACTCAAGTCCAGTGCCCTGCCCCTCCCAATCCCATGGAGACCCAGCCACAGGTCAGGACGGTGCCTTCTGAATTCTAGACCAACAAAAGTGGAGGCGAATTTAGGCCAAAATGGGTATGTGCATCAGGGGAGGCTGGGACCACTATGGGTGAGATCTGGAGAAGGTGGCAAGGGTCTCTTGAGGAACGTGATTGTGGATAAAGAATGAAGCAGCTTTGGAGAAAGCTCTGGAAGCCTGAGTCAACTGCAATAGGCTGAGCAGAGTGCACCCAAGGAAAGCTTGAAAAGTACAAGAGAAGGCTGCTGAAGGAGGCCAGGACGCACCTTCCCGACTCCGGTAGCTGGTAAGGCTGCGGGCTGCTGTGATGACGGTGGACCTGTCTCCACCCCAGGCAGCCAGCCCCTTGCCAGGTGGCATCACCCTCTTCCTAACAGCCAAGCATGTGACCCTCAAATTCAATAAAACCCTGAGAAAGAACCACAGCACCACAGAGGCCATGAAAGCTGACCGAAGTTGGGCTACCCCATGCTAGCTGTGTGACCCTGGGCAGGTCACACAGGTCCCGGGGGAGTTGTTAGCGCTCAGCATCACAGAAAAGGGACATTTGTGTGAAATGGAGTCCTGCCAAAAGGAGAGAATGCCCCTGGCAGTTGGTGGATGTGGGGCAGGGCCCAGTTCAGAGCAGGGGCACACCACAGTGACTGTGAGCATCAGGAACCATTTTTCTTTCCAAAACATGTCTGTTTCCGAAAAGTAGACCAAGACGGCACCCTAGTTCACAAGCTCCATTTCCAGCCAGAGGCGTCTAAAGGCCTCCTCCCACGCAGAGCAAACATGACATATGTGGGCGGGGAAGGCCCACCTGGGCTTCCTTCTCCAACTTTGTCATGTTTAAAAACATCTGGGCGATCTCCCGGTCGAACACTCGCACTCGGTCCCAGTCCAAAAGAAGAGATCTGTCTTTATCTGCATTAACCTGTAGGAAAAAGGATAAAAAAAGAAGACAGGAAAGAAATATCCAGCTGAGCCCACTGCCAGGGAAGGGAATTGAGGCAGATGAAGCTGCTCCTTGTCTGGGAGGATAACGGTCCCATCTCTGAGGTCTCACGGCCATACCTGCACAGGTGTGCCTAGGTGCATAGACAGGCAAGCTGAGACCCAGCCCAGCGAGGGAGGGCTGCTCTGATTCCAGGCCTCTCCCTTGAGATTAGGCTGGTGGTCTAATGATGGGAGCCCAAAGCTGAGGTGTCTTTAAGGAGCATGGGTACCTACACCTCAAAGGCTATCCCTGCCCACCATCTAATGCCTGGCCAACACTGGGTGTGGCCCTTCGGGGGGACCCCTGCCCTATGTCAACCAGACCAGCTCTGTATTATGTTTTAAATGTTACAAGCAGCTTACATGGAAGATTTTATTTGGAAAGAAGATTCTAAGACTTCAAAACATTTGAAGTCAGGGGCCTATGGCCCTCAGTTCAGACCTTGGATCTAACCATCACAGCTGATGGCCCCGAGGTATGACCTCTCCCCTCCACGCTGCCAAACCTGACTTCCTTCCTGCTTCTCTAAGTTCAATGCATCTAAGCCAATGAAGGCTAGGGTACCTTCTCTGGGCACCCTGAAGAACACTCTGGCCTCCCTCCTCTGTGCCCTTGGCCTTCGGGGCTTGCAGGGCTAGGATGATGATGGAAGACCCTCAGAGTCCACAGCCTGAACCCGGAAAGACCCAGCGTGCAGAGGGAAGGGAAAGCAAACCTTGGCCTGCAGCACCCAGTAGGTCTCCGGTTTGAATGACTGGATTTTATCATGTCTCTCCACACAGAAGCCCAGGGTAGGGGTCTGACATGGCCCAAAAGAGATGAGGGAGCTGTCCAGATTGCCATATTTTCCCTGGAAGTACTTAGTTTGAAACCTACAGGGAGGCATGGGACAGAGAAAGATATTCTGGTCATGGATTCGCTCAAGACACCATCATTAACCAGCCATGTGAGTCCAGCCTGGGGCCAGCTGGTGGCGGCGCCCTGCTCAGAAGACAGGGGACAAGGTGAGGACACACTCAGCAGCGGGCCTGAGGCGGCTGTGTGTGGGTAGAGAGGAATCACGTGTGTGTAGCACACCTGGTGTGGAAGGCAAGAGAGAAGAGCAGACACTGCACCGATCCTGGGGCTGGGAAACCCTTCTAGTCTATTCCATTCCCTCCACCCTCTCCTCAAGACCCACACCATGCAGACAAACACCCCGCTTGTCACATGGTGCCCTGTGTGGTCTAAATCAGCCAGACAGATGGCTTCCTTCAGGGTTTGTAGAATATTGGCGCTGGCCTAGTGCTAACCAAGTGCAGGGTGACCAGGGGGAACGGTGAGGCAGGGGCTCTGGCCATGGGGCGGGCAGCTGGCACCTGGTGAACGCACAGCCGATGCGCAGGTCCAGCTCTTGCCTGGCGTCCACCGAAAGCGCCTCGTTGTGGTCGGGCTCCCCCAGGCGGGCCATGGCGGCGCAGATGTCCGTGTCCGTGATGGAGCTGAACCTGGCCCGGAACACTGTCTTTTCGCCACCGTGGGCTGGATTCATGACAGGCAGCACGGCGTCTAGGACCTGGGGGAGGCGGCCCAGTGGTCACCCACCTCGGAGGTCTCTGCCTTCTGCTCTGCATCCCACCTGCGAGGCACGATTCTTCTCCCAGCCGAACCTCACCGCGTGGGACTTCCTCTCCCTCTTGCCAGCCCCTCCACCATCCCCTTCCCCATCCAGAAGTTTCAGTCTCTCCCCAGCACTCCTGCTACATGGCTTCTTTTCCTTCCACTGACAAACCTGTTCAAACACCCGCCCCTTACTACCATCCTCTCTCTCACCTTCTTTCATCCCAGCCAAACCAGGAAATGCTAATGCCACGGATGCAAGGGAGCTCAGTCACGAAATCCTCCCTGTTTGACCCATTTCCCTTCCTTCTAGAGGGCAGAGTGCTAGGAGGGGTAGATGGAACTTTTAAGAGACTGAAGAAAAGCCAGGGAAGGAAAATAGAATGAGGAGGAAAAGGCAGAGGGCAGGAGTGGGGAGGGCACAGGGGACTCCCAAGGTGGGAGCTTGTGGGGGGGCCTCAGGGCTGAAGTATAGCATAAGACCTGGAGCCAGATTCACCAAGAAGGCTGTGCAGTGGGCGGAAGCGGGGGGGTGTCACGCTGGAGCCTGGCCACGCTGCTTCATTATGAGAAAGAGGTGCCTTCGTTTCTGAGGCGGAGAAAGCCCCATGAGTTTCCATCCCCAGACGCAAAGTACCCCCCAGGGGAGAAGCAGCCCTGTAGGGGAGGGGCTGGGAGTGGAGTGTCTGGGAAGGGACAAAGCATGATCATGTTTATTGAGGATGCTGTGCTGGAACACGGGGTGCCCTGAGCTCCCTCTGTCACACAGGAAGCGTTTCCTGAGCCCCAAGGTGTGCCAGGCCCCAGGTGAGAGCTGGGGTGCAGAGGCAGGAGGGTGAGTGGCATCAGAGGACACCTGCAGTCAAGTTAGGACCCGTGTGAGGGCGCCACACCTGCAGCCGAGGCATACAGGGAGGTTGGAGACAGAAGGCTGGAGGGCATCTTGGGTGGGGAGTGGACGGTGAAGGCCAGAGGTGAGAAAAGGAGTGAGGAACGTAGCCAAGTGGCAACCAGCCTTGGCCGAAGGTCCCTGAGAGGTGCCCAGTAGGCTGGGATGCTGAAAGCCACCCCCCTCCCATCCACCTAGAAAATTCTGCCCTTTCTGTCTGCTCACACAGTGGGCCCCAGCAGGGGAAGTAACACCCCTTTGCCCTTGGTAGAGTCTGTAAATTTGGAAGTGTCTATGCAATTTCCAAAATAAAGGAGGGAAAAAAAAAAAAAAGACATTTTGAAGGCAATATCATGGATTCCTGGCCACAGCCCCAGGAATGGGGTGACTGCAAATACAGTCAGCGGGAAGACCAGAAGTGAGGACCGCAGTGGGTCCCCCTCTCACCTCAAAGCAGATGTTCTCCCCCTCCTTGTCGCAGTCCAGCCACAGCACGATGTAGTCGCAGCCTTTGCCCTCCACCTGCCGCATAGCACACAGCCACTGGCACCTCCATGGCCCGGCCCACACTGTCCACCCACCGTGCTCCCTCCTGGCACGTGAGTCCTGTGGAGCAGGACGGGTGCCCAGAACAGGGCGTGGGCTGAGCAGATGTGCTAGCCATGGTTAGGCTGCCTTTGCCACTCAGAGAACTTCGCTCAGAATTTAGTGTTTTGGACACAAAAAGGTTATAAATGCAATATGATCTTAACCCCAAAAACTGCTCGGGGAGAGGGGTGAAATGAAATAAGCCTAAAGGTTAATGGGGGTTGTCTTAGGCAGTGTGATTCTAGATACATTTTTCTTCCCTCTACTTTCTAATATTTTCCACAATATGTATGCATTTGTTTTAAAACTAGGAAAATCACCAGCACCACCAAACAATTTAAAAAACAGAATTTCTGCTCTCCAGGGCCGAGTGAGAGGCCTGCCCAGGTGGGCCTGTGGGTGGTTCTAAGGCCAGGAACAGGCCTGAAAGGTGCCTCGTGGGCCAGCAGGGGGCGCTGATAGAAATTGCTGGGAGGCCGGCCCTGGGTATCCAGCAAAGGCCTCCAGGTTCCTGAAAGGGGGAAGGACTCAGGTGCCCGCCTGCACTGCGGGGAGGCCAGGACCGAGACTTCCCAGGCCCCACCGCCCCAGTCCACCGCACACACCTGCAGGAACTTCACCATGTTCAGCTTGGGGTTAGCTTCCTTCTTCTCTGTCGGGGCTTGGCTGAACAGCTCTGCGGGGTCCACCTTGTCCCACTTGTTGTACTTTCCTACAAACATAGCCACGGTGACATCTGAATCACACTTCCTGGCTCACAGAGCTTGACCTCTGCAATGGTCATAACCCCAGGAGGAGAGGGAGGCTTGGAAAACAACTAGAGGCAGACCTGGGCCTTCGTTCCTCCAGGCCGCAGAGGGGAAACCACACCATCGCCACCCACAGGAGCCACCCCTGGGCAGGGCCACCGCTGTCCCAGCCTCACTTCAGGACATGACCTGTGGCTGGCAGCACCATTCCTGGGCTGGCTCACTTTGCCAGAGCACCGAACCATACCACTCATACTTCGGCCTTCTCTCCCAGCCTGGATTTCTGCAAGTCTCCCCCCACCCAGCACGAGACGGCACACAGGACAGGTGCTCAGGGGATCCCTGTGGGGGATCAATCTTTGGAGCCTCATGACTGGTACCTCCAACCACTTCTCCATGCAGGGCTCATGCCTGCATGCTGAGCAACCCCATTTCATACAGCCTGGGAGAACCGGGTCAGACAGAGTCAAGTTCAAATCCCAGCTCCCCGCCTCCTGGCTGGTGATAAAACTCCGGAATCTAAATGCTTGGCCACACAACTGAATCAATGTCATTGTTGTTAATGAGCAGCAAAAAGTGTTGAGACTTTGCTGTGTGCTAAGCTCTCTATCTTCACTGTCACACTGAGTCCTCAAACAATCCCGGGAAGTAGATGGCTCCTTTGGAAGACCCACTTTACCCGTGTGGGACAGACACTCCTAGGGGCCCCGGTCCCAGCCCGTGAGCCTCTGGAGCAGGGGTCAGAGCCCAGGCCAGACTCTTGTCAAGCATAGGACCCTGCACCTGGCTGTTGGGTCACTGAAGCGGGCTCTTCCAAGGTGACAGATAGCAAAGATAGAAGGATGACAATGACGGCCACTGATTGGCCACCGGACAACAGTCACATTCAGCAGGAAGCATGTTGCAAATGCCTGCGTGCACCAGGCCCCCCCGGAGGTGGGCACTCACTGTCTCCAGGAAGCACAGGAAGGAGCACAGGGCATGCAGTGACTAAGGACTCTCTCTGGGATGGGGATCCAGGGGGTGCTGAGCTCCAAAATGTGGGTTCCGGGCACCTCACCCAGGGACCCTGGGTCATCTCTCCATGATCTACTGGCCTCAGGACTCATGGGCTCTGCATGAACCCCTCTGCCTGGAGCCCTCCCCTGGCTCCAACTAGACCCATGGCAGCACTCCGCAGGGCCTCCCTCCGCAGGATAGGAGATGAGCAGGGCCTTGGGGGCTCACCTAGGAAGTCCAAGGTCATCACGTGACCGCAGACAGATGTCATCTTGAAGCGGACGGCCTGGCCAGCGAAGGTCCCGCTGTACTCGTGCACCGAGCATGTTCCGTTCAGGCCTTTGTGTGAGGACATGTTTCCTGCAGGGGAGGAGCACGGTGACGGCCACTCCGACAAGCCACAGCCACTGAGGCGGCCCCATGCCCTTCCCCAGGGCAGTCAGTGATTATGGTCCCCAGCCACTGCACGTAACTGAGTGCTGGGCGATGTCGTGGCTTCTCAAGGGAAATGCAGTTTGCAGTAACCAACCAACACAGTGTGCTCCCATGCCGAGCCCTGGGCAGGCTCAGGGCCAGGAGCACCCTCTCTGAATGCTCTCGAGATCGACACTCTTGGGCCCTTCCCTGCATTTCTGCCTCACTTCTTTCCAACTTTACTTGAAGGCCTCTGGGGATCTCCTCATTATCAAGTCCCATGGTGTCTTTTCATGCTCCCCACTGAAAGCCCCTCGGCATCTGGGGACCCAGCACTTCTCAGCTCTCCCCTTCCCTTCAGAGAGATGCCAACCCACTGTCCTACCGTGGTCGTGGTACGTAGGTACCACTTCTAGGTACCCAGCACCTGGGCACCCTTCCTACCTGGACAGAATCCAGAGATAGGAAGGGAAGCAGCACCCCACCCACTGCCCCAGTGGCCAGAGCGGGGCTAGTGCCCTGGTGTCCCAGGAGGACCTAGACGAGGATCGGTCTGGTGGCTCCTCTCGAGTGACATGAAGCACAGAGGTTGCAGCTGCAGCACTTGAGGGCAGGGGCAAGGGTCCTGGGGTAACGGCAGTGAGTGCGGCATGGCCACAGAATTAGACTGGGGTCTAAGATCGGTGTCAGACTTAGACCAGAGTGGGCGCCTGGCTCTGTCTTCTTCCTTCCAGTGAATTCTCTCTCTGCGTAAGTTACCAGGGCTACTTGCTGCTTATGACCAACAACCGGACAGGCGCACTGCTCTTACAGCGGCTTACCTGGTGCCAAGCTGTGACCAGGCTGCGGCCCGGGCATGCAGGTTCTGGGAGTCCCAGTCCTGGCCCACACCGGCTGTGCCATAAACGCAACCTACAGTGATAACACTGAGATGCTGCATTGGCGCCTGCGGTCCTGCAGCACATCAGCTCCAGGGCCTGGGTCACACTTGGGGAAAAGAAGGAAAGGACCGTGCCCCACCCCCACCCCGAGGGCTGTCCTCCCTACCTCGAGAGAGGATTTTAGCAATGGACTGGGCCAAGGATGGCTTTTCTGCAACCATGAGCACGGTCCTCATCTTGTCTTAAGGCCGTCAGGGGCTTCGGCCCTTCACACGCCAGTTTCAGAGAGATGGCAATGAGGTTCAGAAACTGCTCTTCTGTGGCTCAACGCTACTGTCAATGCTGACTCCTGGTGAGAAGACAAGACCCTGAAAACAGAAATGCTTCTAATGGAACCTCTACCACTAAGAAGGAAACTCACTTTAAAAAAAGGAAAAAAGGGGGCACCTGGGTGGTGCAGTTCTTGAGCGTCAGACTTTTGGTTTCAGCTTGGGTCTGATCTGAGGGCCGTGAGATTGAGCCCCTCGCTGGTCTCCACGCTTGAGGAGTCAGCTTGGGTTTCTCTCTTCCTCTCTCCGCCCTGCCTCTGCTCACATGTGCACGTGCTCTCTCTCTATAGAATAAATAAACAAATCTTTAAAAAAAAAAAAAAAAGAAAACAAGCAAACACAATTTCTTTGGGGTGCCTGGGTGGCCCAGTCAGTTAAGCATCTAGCTCTTGATCTTAGCTGAGGTCTTGATCTCAGGGTCCTGAGTTCAAGCCCTGTGTTGGGCTCTACAGTGGGCAGGGAGCCTACTTCAAAACAAAACAAAAAAAAAAGGGGGCACCTGGGTGGCTCAGTCAGTTGAGCAGCTGCCTTTGGCTCAGGTCATGATCTGGAGGTCACAGGGTCAAGCCCCATGTCGGGCTCCCTGCTCAGCCGGGAGTCTGCTTCTCCCTCTCCCTTTGCCCCCCCCCACTTGTGCTCTTTCTATCTCTCTCAAATAAATAAATAAAATCTTTAAAACAAAACAAAACAAAGTAAAACAAACAAAACCAAACCCCCAAAATAGGGGTGCCTGGCTGGCTCAGTCTGTAAAGCATGCAACTCTTGATCTGAGGGTTGTGAGTTCAAGCCCCACCACACTGGGTGTAGACTTTACTTAAAAAACAAACAAGCAAACACCAAACCTGAGGTGAGAAAAAGAAGTAAGGGAAACTTGAAGACACTGGACAAACGAGGGCAACGGAACTGGCTTAGAGATGGACACCTGGGGGACTGGGTACCTTTGGGAGAAGCAGATGTGGCTCCATGACCTCAGGTCAGTCTTGTCACCAAATCCATGCCAGGAAGACTTTGGGGTCTTTGGATCTGGACTGATAGGCTGGGCTAGGCAGATGGCTGGCCCTCCTCCCAGGGCAGAGTTCCGTTTGCTCCCCAGGGTGGAGGCTCACCTCCACCTCAGCTGAGAATTGGGATGCCCTGGGACTTTTTTTGTTTTTGTTTTTAAGATTTAGTTTTATTTGAGAGAGAGAGAGACAGAGTGTGCACACACAAGCAGGGGAGGGGCAGAGGAAGAAAGAAAAGCAGACTCCCTGCTGAGAGATCCCAACTTGGGGCTCATGATCCCAGGACCCTGAGATCAGGACCAGAGCCAAAATTAAGAGTCGTCAGATGCTCAACTGACTGAGCCACCCAGGCGCCTGGCTCTGGGACGTTTTATAAAATGGCAGATGCCAGGCCATGTTCTCCAGATCCTTCTGATCCCAAACTAGACCTGAGACCCACTGGCCAGGGAATCCAGACCCCAGCAGAACTTGACAGCCCTTTTCCAATGGACTCTGATCTACCTTCCTGCCTGCCCCAAGCAACCTCTCGCATTGCAGACCATGTTCTGGCCAATGAAACTGGACATGACTGTCTAAAGAAAAACATATTCTCAGGCCTGCGTTCCCTTGCTTGGAACATACTGCCAAGCCCAGAGAATGTAGCTCAACTGTACAAAGGCCCAGTTCTAGTGCTAACTGTTGTTTAAAGAGCTCTCCCATGCCTCTGCTGGCCCCTGGCCCATTACAACAGACCCCCCCCCCCCCCGTGGTTAGTTACTGTTTCATATTCCCAGCAGCGCAGGAGCAGCCTGAGGTCTGCATCACTGCTGGTGATGGTTCCAAGACTGCTTTCAGACAATGAATTCCTGCTGGCTAAGTAAAAGAAACCCGAGCCCTGTCTGTCTTTTTGATCATTATACATATGGCCTGGACGTTGACAAATATGACACCGTTTTACCAAACAACAACAACCACACGACTTCTACTGGGACAACTGGGCAAACTCCGGCGGCGGGGCGGGCGGGGGGGGGGGGTAAAGCTAGACTTCTACTTTAAAATTTCCACCAAAACAGATTCCAGATCTAGCAGAAGTTTAAGCCAAAAGCTCAAACTAGGTAAATACTAGAAGAAAACATAAATTTCAGTATGAAAAGAATACACCTAAGGATTTCAGAAGGGCAGAAATATACTTCTTTGTGTTTAAAAGCATTTGCCTTCCTTTTCTGTGACTGGTCTGTTCACATTTTTTATGTGAATAAGAAAATTTTATTAAAGCTTTTTCTCCCCAGCTGGACGGCTATTTTCTTACTTTTAGCAGTTGTTTATGTAATGAGGAAACCAGCCCTATGTGATAGGATAGCCAATAACACCCAGCACAGCAATAAAACGAGCTTGTGTTTGTCTCACCAGCAATGATCACAGGGTAAGCACACACGTGGGTGAGGGGCTGGTGACAAACTCGTTAGTAGGTGGTGGAAGTTCAGCTGGAATGACCTCTACCTAGAGCAACTGAAAATGTCTCTCAAAACTCCAGGCGCATATCCCCAGCAAACCCACCGCTGGGAATGAATTCAATCGTCCCACAATTACTTACTGAGCAATTTATTGTGCTCAATACGCGTAGCCATGGGTCACATGGGGCGAAGCAGAGCCAGGGAGGGGAGGGATTGGCAGGGGCAAGCCCTGTAACATCTGGGGGGAAGTCCAGGGAGGGTTGGGGGACAGCAGGGAGGGCGCCTTCGGACTTTGGGTTTGCTCTGAGGGAACTGGGAGGTAGTGCAGGGGCAGGATAACCTGACTTCAAGCATTCAAGGGATCCCTCTGGCTGCTCCAAGAAGGGAGCATCTGGGTCCCTGGGGAGCAGCGGGGTGGGGGTGCTGAGTGAAACTTGGGGTCTGGGCAGATTCCGAAGGCAGAGCCAGCAAGACTGGGAATAGGAAGTGAGGCGAATGGAAAACAGACTCCAGGGCCTTTGGCTTCGGCAGCTACAGGATGGGATTCCCCATTTGTTGAGATGGGAACTAGGAGGAAGCAGCAGCTCGGGACAAAGATGCAGGTGTCTTCAATGTGAGCTGCCTGCCGGCCAGCCAGCTGGACCATGGAGGAGGCAGTGGCACGTGGCAGGTGTGGAGCGGGCAAAGGAGCCCAGGCTGTGGGCCAGGGAGATGAGCTGACTCAGGAAAGGCGGGATCCTGGAAGCCCAGAGAAAAGGCACTTCAGAGGGGGAGCCCCCACCATGTAGAAGGCTACAGATACCTGCAGGCCGGGTAAAGGGACAGCGGAGACCTGACCTTGGGGTCTGGAGACTTGCGGGTTGCTGGTGACCCTGCTAGGTGCTGTTTCTTATAGTGAGTGCCAGAGGTAAAAGCCCGAGTGGGGGAGCTCAAGAAGGCCTGGAAGGAGGGGAGAGGGCACAGTGGGCTTTTTCATTTTAAAATGGAAGAAATGCTGGCAAACATGCTGGCATGTTTGTCTGAGAATAGAACTCATCGAGTTCTCAACCAGTTTTTTCAATAGAAAAATCGGTATCGACCAGGTTTTTGATAGAAAAGGTCGAGTAAAGAGGGAAAAAAGAAGATGCAGGAGGCAAGGAGGGAACTGCTGGAGTGATGTCTCTGGGTGGGTGAGGGGTGGGAAGCCGTGGTTGTCCTTGGCCAGAAGGAGGGCCACTCTTCTCTTAGGGCAAGTGTCACCAGTGAGGACAGGAGGCGGTGCTTGGGGCAGGCTGACAGCTGGGGGAGAGCTAAATTTAGCAAGGATGGGATCTGCCAGGTCAGTATGAGGGAGAGAGAGGGGCCGGGGTTGAGGGGAATAATTCTCTAAGATGGGTAAGGAAGAAGGGAAGCCATGGGAGGGTCCAAAAACTCTAAGTGCTCGAGTGGGGAGCAGGAGTCAAAGAAAATAGAGGTCAGAGGGCAAGGGGCCATGGTGTGGGGCCTGAACGGGGTGGGGGATGAGGCCACAGAGGGAGAGGAGGCTGTGAAGCAAGCAGTGGACGCTGGCAAGACTGTCCACGTGGACACTGGGTTCTCAAGAGGGAGGACACAGGGGCACCTGTGATGAGACACACTGCTGGGAAATTCCCTGCAGCATTACCATTCAAATCAAAGATTAGAAACAATGTAGCAGATGTCAACAGGGAATCATTAAATCCAAGTATGGTGTACCATGGAACACCAAGCAGCAATTAGAAAGGAGTGCATCTGCTCGGTAAATACTAACATGCATCAGGTTTCAGAGAAATTACATGAAGAAAGTCAAGTGTATGACTGTACAAAGCACTGCCCTCTGTGGGTGCATGTGTACACACACACACGCTCAAGAAATGGCAAAGAACTACCTGGGGGCAGGCCTGGGGTTAGGATCTGGAAACTGGGGCTGGGGGCAGCTTCTGGTAACCATACTCCCTTATGTACCTGTTACATTTAGTGGTCAAGGACTGGTCAAAGAGAACTAAGATTTAAAAGTACAGACAAGGGGCGCCTGGTTAGTTAAGTGTCTGACTTTGGCTCAGGTCGTGATCTCAGGACAGTGAAATGGAGGCCCACATTGGGCTCTGCGCTCTGCAGGGAGTCTACTTGAGATTCTCTCTCCCCCTTCCTCTGCTCCTCCCCCTGCTTCCAAGTGTGTGCGTTCTTTTTATCTCTCTCTCAAATAATAACAATAATTTTACCTGAAAATGAATAATACTTTTAGATATCTAAATTTTAAAAATGGACTTTACATCTGAGTACTGCAAACACTTCTCAATGTCCTTTTTTCCTATGGTGTCAAAGCTTCTGGAAGTTTTATATTTCTAGTACTCTTCTTCATACCTACGGATCCTAAATACCTTTTCAGTAAAAATTAACAGTCTTCTCTAAAGATCCCTTTAGAGAGAAATGTTTTGCCCTAGCATCTTCAAAGGGAGTACCTCATTTATCCAGGGTTAGGGATACAATTAGACAAAGGCACACCAGCATTCCTCCTGATTTCAGATCACCTGTCCACACGACAGACTAGTTGCCATTTCCACCCCGATACGCGTAGGTCTTTCGCAGCTCTGGCTTGGTCCAACAGTTTAAATTTCAGTTCTGCATGAGTACTTTGTAATGATCTCAGTATCACTGATTTACTAGGAAAGAGACAGGACTTCCTTTAAGGATTCAGAATCACGGAATCCTGAGAAAGGAACGCTGGTGA